AATGTCAGGGTCGCCAGCGGTCAGTGACCGCGGCCCGGTGCACCGGTCCGTCCACCGGCCCTGACCGTTTGGCGCGGCCGTCGGTCATGGTGCGTTGGCTCGTGGGACGCGCCGCCAGCCCGGCTGCCGGGCGCGGCAGGTAACGGATGCTCCGCCACCCGGCCCGGCGCGCCGTTTGGCGGCTGTTTGTTGGCAGATAATGAGGGTTAACGGCTGCCGTCCCAACGCACACTGGTCGGAAACGCTCCAGCGAGAGGCCAGCGGCCTTTCCGCAAAAGTTTTTTGCTTGTTATTCCACAACTAGTGAAGCAAACTTCATAAAACTTTGCATACCTTCTCTGTCATATGTAAGCTATCATTTGGATGTCAAGCACTAAATATATGACATGAATCTGTTAAGTTATGACGTCATAATTGAGTATAATACAGGATCTAGCACCACTTTAAGTCAACAAGGGAAATTGGGAGCTGCTATTCGGGCACCGGGAATGGTTTCATGCACTCCTTGCAAGGTCCAGTGCTTGACTTTAGCATTGTTGACTTTGCGTGACGTCATTTATGACGTCACTAAGGCCATGTAAGTTTTTCGTCAATAACTCCTGATCAGATGGAGCTAGAGAGTCGGGAAAGCCACCATTGGACTCAGGAAGACCTGCCGAATCGAATGATATGCGATATAACCTCCTTCGACCATTTTCGTGACCTGAGGAGCTCCGACCTGACCTTGACCCGAGGTTAACACCTTAACCCTCGCCGGCACAGGGGGGGGGGGGGGGGTGATGCAACTCCCCTAAGGTTTTTCGCGAATAACTCGCGTAAAAAGCGGCCGATCGCGACGAAACTTTCAGTACCCTCGCATTGATCAATTTTACACGTTCCCTGAAAATTTCATGACCCTGACCCCAATGGCCTTTGACCTGTGACCTCTTTTCCGTGACCATGTTTGGCCGAAATCGCGATTCGGCGTATGTCGGCTCGCATTAGCCGCGCGTTTGCAAGCTTTTCGTGGTTTCAAACGTTCGAACATGTGATTTGATGTTGCTCCCATACATTAGGGTGGGTGTCAAGGTCACCTGAAGGTCAGGTCAGGTCATTGACCTTTGGTGACCTCGGGTGACCTCGGTTCACTTTTTCGAGTTTTACATGTTTCTAGGCTAGTTTTTGGAGCGGAATTCGAATTTAGCAACCATTTGAACATTTACGAAGTAGTTTTGGTGCCTTCGTAACATGTTACGAAGCTGTCAGAGGCGGTTGACACGTATTACGAATACCCGTCACAACCCCTACCGGTTCACCTGACCTGACCTGACCCGACCTGGTCTAAATGCTTAAAAACATCATCTCTGATCAAAACTAACACGATATTCGTGATCAGCACCCCGGAAAACCACATAGCAGCCACACTTTACGACTTTCTTACAGGTCCCGATTTTCCCGGTGTTCGGGTCATTGACCTGACCTGGAAGGTCAACCGATGACCTAGGACCTTAAAATTGGGTATCATCGGCTTCGTCTCGTGACGGGCAACACGCTCGTTTTTTTCCGCGAAGCTCTAGCTCGATCAGGGGCCAAACGCGAAGGGGGGGGGTCGTACCCCCCTTGTGCCGTCGAAGGACGCAAAATGGCCTGTGCCGACGAGGGTTAAGTTGACTTCACCCGAACACCAAGTATAGCATTCAACGCGCCTGAGCTAGACAAACACGATTATGCCAAAATCGCGGCAGTGCGACCATTTTTGGCAAAGTAATTAACCTAAAACCGAGCCCGTGCCTTGTGGCACTTACCTGACCTAAGAGGTCACTGGCTGACCTAAGACCTTAAAATCGGGTAGTACCTAATTTTTGCGTCTTATAACGGCACACAAGCTTGTTTTTTTCCGCGAGGCTCTAGCTCAATTAGAGGCGAAACGGCGAGGGAGTTGTACCAACCCTCCCCGGTCAATGTAGAAAACCAATCGGTCCGGCCAGGGTTAAATACCGGAATTGTGATCTAATGTAAAAAGACGGCCCAAGGTAACCCGACGTCAGTGACAGGTGTCTGACAATTTCCACGTCAGTGACAATTTCCACTTTCTTCAGCCGAGTGATGGTTGTCAATAGCAAGGCTCTCTAAATGCAAGCCGTAATCGCCACGCAATATGTGGAAGGCTTTTGATGTCAATACAAACATAAGTGCATACATAAAACGCGCTTTTCACAAAATTCATAAGCTCAAGCGCATCTGTTTTTAATGACCAGTCAACTACGCATGGATGCGTGCAGGCCACACAGGTCAGCGACAGCGTAAGCCGGGCGCGGCGGCCGAGCCGAAACTGGGGCGGGGCGGGCGGTAGTTGGGTAGGAAAAGTGGCTCCTGCAAATTTTGCGCAAATATGCGCAATTAGCTTTTATGTTGCCCTGGTGTAAATTTAAATCCTACTTCATCTCACAAAAAATCAGAGTGGAACTAGATGGGACTACCTGTTGTTTCCTTACCTAAACTTTGCAGTTATATTCCAGAATCACTGTAGGAGAGCCTTCATAAAAAGCTATAGTACATCTTAGTTAGGGAAAAAGTATGCCAAAAAATTTGCACTGACCAGTCGGCAACTTCATAACGAACATTTTGATGCATAATATGTGGGATTTCAATTTGGTGTCTATCAGCAATAAGACTCTGAATATCCGGCTCAAGAAACCTCTTGCTCCGCGTCAGTTTCCGAGTTCTGGGATACCCCATCTTCGGGGGCTGATTGCAGCTATTTCTGGTCACCCGGATTAGTTTTTTTGGCCTAAGTATAATAATTTGATCAATTTCAAATCGATCTATATAAAAAATAATCCGAAACTCCGGAATCGCCCGTGGCCTCTCGTGAGGGCGTTTCCGACCAGTGTGCAACGGTTCGGCCAGAAACAATCGGGAGACATTCCGGCAGTTCCCACGTCTCCTCTCGAGCTCACTGTTTTCATTGAACAACATCCAACGGTAACCAAACATTCTCAGTCGCTAGCTGTTCAATCGGTCCGTTTACTGAATGCTGATCGTCAATATCGATGCCGTGATGTGTCGTGCGGGCACCTACCTAAACGTCGCTGCCTTACCTACTTGTAACATCAGTGCACTTGAGCTGAGGGTCTTAATTTCAATCCCAACTGTCTATTGTTCCTCAGTCATTCCACCCGTCTCAACACGTGTCTAAAGCCGTGCTCTGTTGCCCGGCGGTGTTGCTTCAGCGTTACTCCACACCCGGGGTCAGTGATCGCCCGTTCACCCGTGCTTCAATGCAACGGCACACTGCTGCCACCTAACGGCAGAGTTCAACAGCTTTGGTTCACCGAGTAACCGCCAGAGGCGCGCAGGTCTAGTGAAGATCTGCTTAGCCTCGGCCAAGCCTCGGCGGCCTCGGCTGTTGGTGGACGAAATGAAGACTAAATGGGACGACTGCTAAATTTAGATCATAATGGGCTTAGTGACTTGGCTTTGTGTTAACATCTGGTACAATTTTACGATCTTGCAAGTTATAAAAAGTGCTCAGCCTAAAATGTCGCCGAAGCAGAATCAGTTTTGAGTTTCATGGCCGTAAAATGCTGGTAAAATGTTATTTGTTTAGTGTGGAATTTCGTCCGCTTTTATTACTGAATATTGCCAAGTACACAAGGTAAGCGAATGTAATAATTCTATTTGATTCTTCGATCACTTGGTCTGTGTAGTTCTAATTATTCTATGAATAGACATTCTTGTAGGTATCAGCTCTCAATACCTACTAAAGTTTCAGCAGAAAAAGTGTTTTATGATGACCTAGCATTGTTTGGTATTCTTGTTCGTTTACCGTAAGTTGCATAGCATATCGACAAACGTCTCATCTAAAAGGCTGATGTAATATAGTTGTGCATAGCGGGCTAAATTTACCGCCAAATAATCCGCGCCGTAATCCGCGCCACCGCCATACATCATCCACTTGTACTAAACCCCAGATTCGCCCTTTGTCTGCACGCTAGCGTTCACAAGGAAAACACGGGGGCAAACGAACGGTACGAGCGCCGATTTTTTTCCACCGGCCCACAACAGTTCTGGGCCTCAGATGCTCACAGCACCGCGGGACACTGTCCAGTGTCCCTGCACCCTTTTGCGTCCCTCGCTACCCCCGACCGATGCTTCTCGAACCTCCCCGCCCGACCGACCCGCAACTGTCATGGCGCGGCGGCGCGGCGGTGTCATCGGATGGTCGACGACCGCAGGAGGAGCGGGTACGCCACGGCGCTGATTCGGGTCAGGGCTGCGGCGCCGGGGTCGGTGGCCGCCGCCGCCCGGTCGGTCCACTGACGGCGACTAAAAGAGAAAGTGCAGCGCCGCGCGGCCGCGACGTGTTTTATGTGACGGCGACGGCCGGCCGCCGGTCACCGCTCGGTAAAAGCTCGGTGACGACGACCGGTGATGGGCGGTGATGACATCGGTGAATGGAGTCACCGGTGAATGTCAATGTCCCTCGCGGCTGACCCGTGAGTGGGTCATGGTATCATGGGTGCGCAGTTTCCGATCCAAATGCCGCCTCAGTGAGGGAGCTGAGGGGGATGACAGTCCCACTGGCGGCGGGACAGTGAACCCGCCGCCATCTGGTGGCCTCGGGCAGCGGGAGGGCCCCGACAGCCGGTAACTGGGTCGCGCTCCGCCGCCCCACGTCAGCCGGCTGCATGAGTAATGCACCAGCAAACTACTACTGTCTGCAGCCGCTGGGCGACTTGTGAGCCGCACAACCCTCCCTCCTTCCCCGTCCAACCCAGGCACCCCAGAGGGCCAGCACACGTCTCAACCGCTACGGAAGTTGGGGGTGTTTTCACAGTGACCTTCAGGCGCCGCGAGGGAGTAGTGGGAAAATCTCACCACTCATGGAGTCGCTGCTCCGTATGAGGTGTTACTTGGCAGCGCTCCTTAGCGCCTGCTTGTGGTCATCTCCCGGAGAAACTGGTGCGGTTTCTCGGAGCCGCCGGCGCCCGCTGACGCCCCGCTCTCCGCTGTTGCAGGCATGATGACGGTGCCCGTGCTGCCGTACGACGCCAGCCGTATGAGCCTCTTCCAAGATCTCAAGCTGAAGCGCCGGAAGGTGGACTCAAGGTGAGCCGTTGCCCCCGGGCGGTGACCCGGCGGCTGCCCAAGGAGACGTCCCTGGGCCGCCGGCGGTCCAGCTGCGCAGTTCCTGCCCGGCCCCTCCCCCGGCCCCCTCCTGACCTCCGCCGAGCGCTCCCATTGGCCGCCGCTGGCGCACGCACACGCACAGGCCATGCAGAAGTTTGCATAGCGCTGCGGACGCGGTCGATCTGGGCTCGTGCGGCCTCGCCGCCGCTGCCAACGGCCGCAAGTTCAATGACACCGGCGGCGGGGCGGCGCGGAGGAGCGGCCGCTGCGCGCGCCTGACCCAGAATCCAGCCCCTCGCCGCCCGCGCGCCGTTATGTTTATCTTGGGCGTGCGTGTGCGCGGGCCGAGAGCGCGTGCCACCGGCCGACTTCCGCGTGCGTGCGCCGCGCCGCGCCGCGATCTGGGCCGTCGCCAGCCGATGAGAGACAGAGGGCGGCCGCGCGGAGACGGCGAGGGGTCTGGCGCGCGCCGCCGGATGGACCGAAGGCTCGGGATACCGCTGGGCGCTGCGGGAAGAGACAGGCAACATGCAAATGATGCGATGGTGATCGGGAAGTGAGCGCGCTCGTACCCCTCGGTTCGGGGCGTTGCGGCCCGGTCGCCGGGCGCGCCCCTCTCGCGGGGATGGCGTGACCTCTAAGCCGTCCCGCTGGCGTCTGCCGGGCTGCGACCCGACGGCGCGGCTGCACGCTGCACGCTGCAGAGCCCTTGCAGATGGCCGCGCCGCTTTCGTACGGTCCGTGACGCAACGCGGCGGCGCCGTTTCACTTTTACCTTCGCCATTTTCATGACCGGCGCCGTGGCGGTCGGAGTGGCGACGGCGCCCGGCGCGGCGGCGGCGGCGGTTGCGGCGGTTCCGACTGTGCGTGAGCCTGGCGACTGCGCGTGCGCGCCGGAGGGGCGATGTTCATGTGAGTGTCCGGGGGCGCGGGCGGGGGCGGGGGCGGTCGTTGCCCCAGTTCCGGGGGTCGCGGCCGGCCGACTGCTCGGGTGAGGCCTCAGGGACGCTCTGCCTGCCGGACGGCCGGCGGTCAGTGCCAAAACGGCGCTGTCCGGCGCGCGCAGCGGACGTGCACCGTGCCGTGCTGAGCCGTGCCGTGCTGAGCTGGGTGGAGAGCAGGGCCCTGGTGTGCGCCAGAGGTCACCAGTACCATTTGGCGCACTCTGCGTGAGTGACCGAAGGCCATCCTCCGCCTGCAAGGTGCAGCCGCCGTGCAGGGAGGCCACTGCCGGCGATGTGGCGCCTGGGTGCCCTGGTGTGAGTGTCCTGGTCAGAGTGCCAGTGGGTGCCGTGGAGTGCGGATGCCTGAGAGAGTGTCTGTGTAAGTTGAACCGTGCTGATCACTTAGTGTGCGTGAGTGGTGCGTGTGTATCTGTGTGTAGGTGCTGAAGTGACGGGAGTGCGTGGTCCTTGTGAGTGTTGACCCGATCGCGTTGATGCGAGTGCATGAAAAAGTTGCGAGTGAATGGTGGTCTGCCGGCTTCTTGACCGCGATGTCGTCTGTATGTGGGCTTTGTGCGTTCCTGCACCTCAGAACGAGGGACGGGTGATCTGAACCCAGCATGCCCTGATGGCATAATGTTTCATAAAGCTTTTCATATCTTTAGACAGGTATGATGGCCATCTTTGTCAAATCTGACGTTTAAATCTTCATTTCAACCCTCCAAAATGGGTTCTTTGTACAAATCCCGGGAACATCTTGCGTGCGGTTTCCTGGAAGCTGTCTTTGTGCGAGCCTGCTCGATCCCATAGACCCGCTGTTCAATCAGCCGCGAGTTCAATGGCCCTCGACCTTTGTCCCCAATTCGTCAGCGGGCTCCCCGGGGCGCCGCCGGCCGGTAGGTCACGCAGGTGTCTGCGGTCGCCGAACATCCGTGCGAACTGCGGCGGTGATTGGTGGTGCTCCCGGGGCGACGGCCGGGGTAATGTCGGAGCGTCGGAGTGAGCTGAGAGATGATGCCGCTGTCTCGGCGTGGGATGATGCCGCTGAACTGTGGGAGGGTATAGGTATATCAGCGACTGCAATGAAGAAGGGCGTCGATCTGGATGGCAATGCGGCACTGATAGGCGCAGGAATACGGCTGTGATCTTTCCGTGGCTGCCGCAGTCGCCGTGGTATTCAGACAGTGAGCCCAGCCAGAAAGGGGTCACGGGTTGTGAGTCACTCAGGGGTGGCGGCTCGCGTCCCCCCGGTCGATATACTGCTAACAGCTCGTCAGGCGGACAATGATTCCTGCAGCGGCGACTCCACGCTGCAACAGACGGAGTCTCACCGGGATTACACCCGACTCTGTTCCGATTGTTGCTTCTCCGTTTAAACATTTGTTTCCCTCGGCAGGTTTGGAGCGTAGACTGTTGTTTGCTGTTGTCCAGATGGTCTGGTTATAAATAAGTGAAAACTCGTGCACTGAAGCGCTGTACCCAGCGCCACGATCGAGCCCTGCCTGCAGTGCTACCTCGGCTGCTGGCGCCCAGTGTGGGCCGGCTCTCCGGTCGAGGATGACCGCAGTGGGCGGCAGAGGCCGGTCTCCGCGGCCACCTTGCGTGAGCCGATCTCGGTTGTCAGTTGAATAGAACACGTGTCTGGGGGCGACCACCGACGCGCCAAGGGCACCGGAACCAGTCGAATGCCCGTCGGACGGAATGCCTCGCACTCCGGAAAAGTGTAACATATAGCCGACTGCAAGTATGTCGGAAAACCGAGGCGGGACGAGCGGCTGTCTGGACTGTTTGTCCTCGCGCGCTCTCGGCCGCTCTGTCGACCTTGCTGGGGCAGCCCGCCGCAGAGTTTTGCGCGGCAAGTAGGGTGGGAATGAGGAAAACGGCCGGCCAGCGGGCCGCTCGGCTGAAAAAGCCGGTACCGTTGGCGGGCGACGACCGATGCCATCGGTTATTGCCTTTGTCGGCGTAAAAAGGCTGCCAGCCGGCACTTTTTCACGAGCCACCGGCCGGTCACGGCACTCGACAGGGAACGACAGCGGACCTAGCGGTCTGGCCGTGTCATCGTCACGTGCGACGTCCTCACAGGCAGCGCCGGAGCCCCGTGGTGCCCTTCCTCGTCGCGAAAATGTCTCCAGTCGATGCCTTATCGCAGGGTGGCAACAGCGTTGGGTACAAGTCGGTAGTGAGCCGGCAGAGTAGTCGCGGCCATTTGTGGTTTTCAAGGTGATCTGTGCATCGTTGCGTGGACGGCTGTGTTGCGTGTTTCGTGACTTGTGGGCGAGTCGCGAGATCAGTGCAGCGCCATATTTGGGGAGTTCCTGTGTGGCCCGACCGTCAATTGTATCTCCTGCACCGAAATTAGCTCATGTCTGCTTCACCAGTGATAGGTTCACGTGTCGTAAGTGCGGAATTATCCTCAAATGTGCGTCTTTTCTGATAGTTTTATCGTTAGACTCTCGCTTCTGATCTGTCTGATATGACAGCGATTCATGTGTGTTAAATGTGGAATTATAGCGTATTCCGCCATCTGACCTAACATCTCTTCGTGCAGGTGTAGCAGCGACGGCGAGAGTCTGGCGGATACGTCGACCAGCTCTCCCGACAGCGGCCATTCGGCGGGTGGCGGCGCCTCCTCGCCCCACCTGCACAGCGACGCGCCCGTCTCACCGGCCAAAGACAGGTCAGTCGGTGGAACTGGGCGTCAAAGAGGAGAGAAGGGGTCGGGAGATGTACAGATCTGAAGTATGTGTGTGTAAGAATTAGCATGTGTAACATTTGTCGACTTTCTTGAACCGGTGCGGCGTCTTGTGTACGGAGCTCCCGCCGGTGTCTGTGTGTGATGGTGGAGTGAAAGCGGCGCTGACCGGCGGCGGCGGCGCTGTTGCAGGGAGACCCCGGAGCCGGCGGCCGTCTCCCGCTCGTCGCCCGTCTCGTGTCTGGCGCCGGCGCCGTCCGATCAGACCGAGCTGCCCGAGCCGGGCATGACGGCGCGACCCGACCAGCACCGCACCAAGCCGACCAACGGCGCCGGCCGGCCGGCCAGCCGCGGGCCCGCCGGCGCCGACGAGCGGCCCGCCAGCCGCGGCTTCGTCACCGGCTCGCCGTCGTCGCACCAGCTGAGCCCGCGGCCGCAGCCGGCGGCGGCCAGCCCGCGCATCCACCCGGCGGCGCACGCCCGGTTCCCGGCCGAGCCGCTGCGGCCGGCCAGCTCCCCGTCCCCGGCTGAGACGCCCGTGTCAGCCGCCTACTGGAGCCACATGGCGGCCACCGCCTACCGGCTCAACGGCATGCGACCGAGCAACGGCGCGCCGCCGCTGCCGCTGCCGCCGCCGCCGGCGCCGGTGGCCAGCGAGCAGCCGCGGCTGCGCACGCCGCAGGTGATCATGGGCGAGCACGGCGGCGTGCGGACAATGGTGTGGACGTGCCCGGAGCCGAGCACGCCGCCGGCGCCGGCGCCGTCGGTGCCGCTCTCCTACAGCGAGGAGCAGATGGTGCGCCTCTCTGTGGACAGCCTGCTCAGCCTGGGCCAGGAGCGGCGGCTCTCCTCTGCCTCGTCGGCGCACACGCCGCCGCACCTGTCGCCCACCAGCTCGGTGACCATGTCGCCGTCCCCCCGATCTCCTTACCACCCGTCCGTCATCACGCCGACGCCGCCCGCGCCGGCGCCGACCGTCTCAGCGGCGCACGAGCTGTCGCCGTCGGCGGCCCCCTCGCGGTCCCAGCCGACCAGCGAGGCGCTCGACATGTCCAAGTTCTGGGGCCAGACCCAGGTGAGTGACTGCACGGCAGAGTGGGAGGGGCTCAGGAGGGAGAGGGATCATGAGCGAGCGAGAGGGGCTTTCGCAACGCGCAACTTTCCCTTGGGAGGAACTTTCGGGAGGGCTTTCGCTGAGGAGCGACTTTCACTAGGGAGGTACTGCCCTTGGCTCGGGGAGTGACCGTCACTGGAGTTCGACCGGCGCGGCAGGTGACGTCGACTGACCTGACCTGACCCGTCCGATGATATCGAGTGTCACGCGCGGCCCTGGTACCCCCACCGGGGGCACGGCGCGGCGCGCATGGCGCGAACTTTCACAGAGTTTCTCCGGCGCGGGTCGTGCAGTCCGAGGGCTGTCGGCTGCCGTGGCCGGCTACTTTCATTTTCCCATGCCCGGCGACGGGCGGACGCGGAAGCGATCGGCGCTGCGGCCGGGCGGCGCGTTTCTCTCCTCTCCTGTCGGCTGTTTTACCGCCCCGACCCGGGGTCGGTCACCTCACTATGGGCGAAATGGGACTGACGCGCGCGGGGGCGGGCTGAGCTCGGGCGGGACCCTCCGCGGGTGCAGGGATGCTAATGACGGGCGCGGCTGCTAACATACCACCTGTCGCGAAGCGTGCGTCTGAAATCTGCAAACGGCGCAGCTGTCATATGGCCGCTCGTGTGAGGCGACAGCTGTCATAACGGATCTCCGGTCAAAGTCTGCCAACTCGTCTGACGCTTTTTCACTAAGCTGCCGTCAAGCAGCCTCTGGCAATCCTCATGAACTAAGCGAGTCGCGAGGTAAAAAGCGTCTCGTCAAGGCTCAGTTGCTCAAGCGACCCGCAGTCTCCGTCCCGTCTCTCCCTCCACGTCAATCTCGGTCGTTCGTGGCTCGTTTGCTGGCATCTGCTCCCGTGGCGGATTACCGGCTGTCGTTCCAGCGTGCAAACAAGGCCGACAGACCGCAGCCTGCACGGGAAGGCCACCTAACCGCGGCGGGGAGCCGAACGCGACAAAATCCCACACCCACACGGCCGGGCCTCTCGCCCTCCCCTGCTCCCCGTTCCTCCTCCTCTGCACTCCGCCCCCTCCCCTCCGCCGCCGCCGGCCGACTCGGCACGTGCTGTATGCTGACGGGCAGACCCACTTTCGCGGCCCGTCTGTGCAGCTTCCGCGCCGCCCGCGGCCGCGCTGCCGACTCGCTGGTTATATTCCTGTCTCGACAAAGGTCAATGACCGCGGCGGCGGCGCGCGAGCTAGCAGCGCCGCGCCGCGCGGCCGCGGCCCGCTCGCCCCGACCTGTGACCCGGTTAGCGCCGCGCGCCCCGCCGCCGACCGGCCGGCCGTGCTGTGTAGGCCGCTGCAGCAGCATCGCTCTATCGAACCGGACCGACGGCACATTAGCCAACACGGTCACCTTGGTTCACCGACGTGTCTTTGATTATCTGGTCGAAGACGCGCCGCCGTGTTGAGAAACACCTACAGACCTTGGTGTGTTGGGAAAACGCCGCAGACCTTGGCCGGGTGCTGGCCCACAGCTGGACATGGTGCAGGTCTGCCGACCGCGGCCCATTCGCTGGAGATGATCCGGTCAGCACGAGCCGAGTGGTGACATTGGACAGAGATGATCGCTCAGCCGCGGCGCCGCTGCATTCGGATCAGCGACGCCACCAGATGTGCGCGGTACACTCGTAAACGCCAGGGCAGTACTGACGAAACGTACTTGATTGCTAGAAAGTGAGCAGCGTAGTGTATGACTGGCACTGAGTAGTCTTCATGGTCAACCCCGAGTCAATGCACTTGAACTCTGGCGGAGGATTATCCCACTGCCTTGCGTGATGCCCCGTCGCGTCCACCTGTCTGACCACACTCCCTCCCCAACTAGCCTACTCGGCCTGACCGCAGAATGTGTTCACCGCCGACCATATGCTGATGTTGACCCCGGCCGTGCCGTCCGCAGGCGTTAAACCTGACCACCAGCTGGGCGCAACGCTCAGCGCCAGAGCCGTCGACGTCGATGCAGCACTACGACGACAACGACGAGCACCCGATGATCTGCATGATCTGTGACGACAAGGCCACCGGTCTGCACTACGGTATCATCACCTGCGAGGGGTGAGTGCGGGGTGACGCAGGGGCGGAGCCGGGGAGCCCCGGGGATCCGCCGGGGCGCAGTTGAGGGGCCGCCGGGCCGCAGTTCAGGGGCCGCCGGGGCGCAGTTCAGGAGCCGCCGCGGCCCTGACGGTGGCCTCCGCGCGACAGCATAAGCGGCTTTGTTTGTGTTTTGCGTCGCCAGTGCTGTGCGGCTTTCTGCGGAACACCTTGACTTGAACATCAGAAAGATTGTGTCACTTCTAACAATCGGCGGATGAACGTCGTTCGCCTTGTCATCTTTTGAACCCATCGACCCTGAATTCGTCAGCTTCTGAGATGGTATCCGCAGCTACCCCGCTCGGCACCTCTCTGTGTGGCGTTCAGCACTGACTGCGTGCTTCCCTTTCAGATGCAAGGGCTTCTTCAAGCGAACCGTGCAGAACAAGCGGGTGTACACGTGTGTGGCAGACGGCAACTGTGAGATCACCAAGGCGCAGCGCAACCGCTGTCAGTTCTGCCGCTTCCAAAAGTGTCTCAAGATGGGCATGGTCCTGGCAGGTGAGTCTCGAACTAGGACGTCCGTGCTGAGTCATCTTGGGTTCTGAATGAATGTGGTGGATAAGGAAGCTAATAGGGGCTCTAGTAGGCGGCTTTTGCTGGTACTGGAAGGAGGCGGGGGTACCGTCACAAGGGCGGCTTTGACGCAATAAATGTCCGCTGAGCCTTGTACTGGGCATTCCTCAATACTATTAGCTGAAGTTCACCCACTCCGTTTACCCATACGAGGCCGTGAGTCTGGATTAGTTCACCGCGATTGGGACCTCACTAGGCCAGCCGGGGCGGCGGCGCGGTGGCTGAACCCCGCCGCTGTGTATTTCGGTAGCGATTCGGCGACCGCCGCGGGCGCCCCGAGCCCTCCCGACAAGGCCCGCCGATGGGCCGACTGATCGCTGCGGTCGAGTCCGGCCCGCCCGGCCCAGTCTCACACGCGAGATTCCCCAGATAACCTTGACTTTGACTTTTGTGCGGCGCCGATGGGCTGGCCCGCCCTAAATAAGCGGTCGCCGTCATTGATGCTCCCGGTATGGTCCCGCTGCCGGGCCGACCGGCAGGCGAGTCACTGTTTTCCGGGTGGGATTTTTGCGGGCGGCCGCATTCAGCAGAGTGCATTAGCGCATGTGTAATTGGTCGAGCGGGGCTGACTGGCCGGCCCGGTATGGCGTTGGCTGACTGTGGTTTGTGTTTTTATTTTTTTGCAGCGGTTCGAGAGGACCGAATGCCGGGTGGAAGGAACTCGGGCGCCGTATACAACCTTTACAAGGTAAGATACGGATCTGCGCGGCTTGGTGTAAGAAGGGAGCACGCACTTGTTATCGAGCTGGATAAAAGTCACGGCCTGTTGCTTTGTATCAGTCGAGACAATGTACTTTATCAGCCAAACTAAGGTTCGTCGGGCGCGGTAGTTCTGATGAATTGGCTGATCATTGCTTCACGCGGCATGTCCTACAGCTCGCTCGGGTTTTTGACACTGACTATATCAGCTAATCTCTCATGTTTCACTAGTCGTCGGGCTGAGCGAGTGCATTGAACCCTGCCGTATCAGGTCATCAGCTCCAGTGACAGCGCGCTGACCGTTTCCTTGTATGTGCCGCCAGGTCAAGTACAAGAAACATAAAAAGAAGCAGCTGAACGGCACAATGAAGACTGACTGCAAGCCCAAGGCGTTAGAGATGCAAACTTCCGTGCCGCCCGGCCTGTTCGCTGCCGGCAACATTCTAAAAACGGCGCTCACCAACCCGACAGAGGTCAGTGACCGCGACACGGCGGGGTCAGTGACCTCCGGCCGGCCGGATTCGGGTCACTAACTGTTCTCGGGGAGTTTTCTAGCGTTTCCTGTTTGGAGTTTTGTGCCTGCACCTGTGCAGTGGTGTCTGTAATCCGTCATGAATGCATTCTCCCCAGTCAGTTCATTGGATCGGCGAGTTTCTTGCAGCGCGCTGCTATTGTGCTATTGATCGGGGCTGATATCCGTTCGTTCTTTTTCCACTCGGGCGCAGTTTCGGTTGCCAAACCGGATCTGCGCCTTACCTGAGCCGCTGGCGAAACTCACGTGATGACCAGTTTTACCATTATTTATAGTCTTGCTCCCACATTGCGTGCGAAAATGGATGAACAGGCTCATCGGAGCATGCCTGTTTCCGCTGAATCTTCCATTTATTATACCAACATCTAATAGCTACTGGCTATTCTATGACGAAATCTTCCATATTTCAAACTTAGACCTTGTGCAACCTGAATCGGAATCCAGTAGCTTCCGGAACATCACGTGATTCGCAATAGGCCCTTCATTCAGCCTCCGCGACCCTACCACCTCTGTGCCCTCCTTCCATGACCCTGTGTGCCCCCTTCTGCGCTCTGCTGGCCCTGTGCGCCCCCGTGTGCCCCCCGTCCTATCTCCTCTAACTCTTATTGTGCCCTGCTGACCGCCTGTGCGGCCTCTGCGCTCCCCCAGCTAACTCCCTGTGGCTGTTCCCCTCCCGTCAGGTGGACCACCTGCGGCACCGGATGGAGAGCGCCGTCAGCTCGTCCCGCTCTCTGCCCTACGAGGCCACCGCGTCACTCGTCCGCACCCTCATCGACTGTGATAACTTCGAGGACATCGCCACGGTAAAGGTACTGTAAACCCAGACGCTTCGCTCGGTACTCGTGCTATGTTAGTGGGCAGCCAACCACCCCGACCCCCCCCCGACCCGGCGGGCCGCCTGTGGCCACGCACCCCTGTTTAGACCCCCCTCCCCTCCCCCTGCCCGTCCCCGGCTCTTGCGGTGCTTGGGTGCTGCTTTGGTGGTGGTGGTTTACACCTTTACACTTCGCTTTTGCAACTGCTTTCGGTCATCCCTTTAGTTAAGATTTTGTAATATAGTTCGTTGCACATTTAGCTCGTTAACTGTTTCAATTCATCGCGATTGTCGAGTGTGTTTACCAGAAAATACACTCAAATCCGTCACAAAGAAATAAGTGCTTTAACTTTTGAAAAGTGTTGTTATTGCTTCTGTATGCTAGAAATTGCACTTTTTCTATGGAAAAGTTCATTTTCTTTATTTCAAATTATTCCCTTGTACATATGCGTCTTTATTGCTCGCATTAAAAATCTTTAACTTGGATGGTTCGTTCTGCCAAGACGGCATCGCGTCTTTCCTTTGTTCTGTACGATGAAGTGCCCCCTCCACCGGCACACACTGGCCCCCGGAGCCGCGCGGACGACTCTCCCCCCGTTACCTGAACACGGCACGCCTACTAACCTCCGAGTGGCCGCGGCGGCATGTGGGTTTACACGGTGTATGCACGGCCGGCGACATACGGCCGCCGTGTCGGATAAGGGCCCGTTCACACCGTGCTTTGGTGCCGGCGCCCTATGGGTCTCTGTGCTGTGTGAGAGCATGACTGGGCGGAACCTTGAATGTTTTCTGACATTGTTTGGTTTAGATGTTTACGGTGCTTGGATTCGTGTTGAGCTTATTCGACGGAAAGTTTCCTCACGAGTTTCAGTGCAAATAGGCGCTGCTTTTCCCATTGAATCAAGCATTTACATCGTTCTCGTTCGCCGACGAATGCCAATGTCACGTGTGGCATTCAGTGCCCGTTACTACGGACGTTTGTTCGTGTCGGGCCCCTCACGTTCCGGTCGGAGCGGCCGGCTGTATTCCGTCCGGCCTGGTAACACACGTGTGACCGGCGCCACAGTAGCGGTCAGCGGTCGTCTCTGTGCGCCGCACGACACGTGCCGGCCGGCCGGCCACAAACGCAGCCGCCGGGGAGGAGGGGAGGGAGGGGGGGGGGAGCGGATGTTGCGTGCGCCGCCGCCGCCGGTCGTCGGAGCGCTGACGCACCTCTGACGCAGCTGTGACGTCGATATGACGTCACTGCTGTGTGCGCGGAGGAGGCCTGTCGATGTCGCTCGCTGCTGCTAGATCCGGCAGCAGACCTGAGTATCTGGGCAAGGCGATTAGTTTCTAGAACAGGTCACCCGTAAAATTAGCGGGAAGACGGAGCTGCGTTAGGTTTGCAGAAGGCGATGTTGAGCGATGGCGAGATGATTTCCGCGAGTGAAACTGACGAGTGTTCTCTCTTCTTCCGCAGAACCTAAACGAAATCTTCGACAACAAGTCGGACATCTCACAGAAATTGTGTCATATCGGAGACTCCATAGTCTACAAGCTGGTGCAGTGGACGAAACAATTGCCTTTTTACTCAGAGATTCCCGTGCAGGTGAGTACCAGCCGTCCAGTTCGACGAACCCATCCATTTCCGATTCACGTGTCGAAGTGCTGCTTTCGATTATTCAGATGCATTGCCACGCTATAAGTAAATGCAGCCAATTTTCCAGGACAGAAAGTGCATCTTTCGCTCAAATTCAGCTTTCCACATGAAACGGCGCATTAGAACGGGACTGGTGGCCATATCCGTGCATCAGCTGAGATTCGGCGAACCATTTCGCCCCCGCCCGGCTGACGTAACCTCCTCCCTGTCCGCCAGGTTCACACCCAGCTCCTGACGAGCAAGTGGCACGAGCTGCTGGTGCTGACGACGTGCTCCTACCAGGCGATCCGCGGCCTGCGACCGGCGCTCACCATCACCTCGGACCACACTCAGACCGAGTTTCAGCAGGAGGTGAGTAAGGACGAGTTTAAACTCACCGCTGAGCTCAGAGTCGGCGGCAGAGCTCACACAGTCGGCGGCGGCCGAACCCGGCTTCTGCAGTCGGCTCTGCGTGGTTATATAAGCCGATCAAAAGGTCAACGTACCCTCGGCGCGTCGCTCGGTGACAATATGACCGGCCGATTTTCCGGTTGGTTTCCATGTCGTCTTTGGCGACTTACTCGAGCGTTGTCCGTCAGCTATGATCCACATTTTATCCGGTAGTGTAGAATGCCTTCGACAGGAACACCGCGCGGCTGTTTGTTGTGCTGCGTTTTCCGCCGTCGGTCACGATCGCCCGGCTGTGGTGTGGTCGGGACACACAGCGCCGCCCCGAGTCTCACACGGTCACTGCTTCCGTGTCTGACCAGTGTCTCTCCCTCCGACCGCCAGGTGGCCACCAGTCTGAGCACGCTGCAGACCTGTCTCTCGAACATGATGAACGAAGCGATCTCGATGGAGCAGCTGCGGCGCGAGGTGGGCGTCATGATCGAGAAGATCACGCTGGTGACGGTGATGCTGCGCAGCCTCGGCATCACCATGCAGGAGTACGTCTGTCTCAAGGTCATCGCGCTGCTCAATGACTGTGAGTACTCAGACGGACGGAGCCCGGGGAATGCCGGTCCGGGTAGCGTAGTTCTCTGACCTTAGCGTCGGGACGTTAGTTTGGCAGTTCACCGCTGCACTTAACTTGGCTGAAAATTCTCATTATCTCCGTCGGAACTGGGGCTAAAAATGGTTGCATAAGTTCAAACTCTATTTTAGATATCTCCTAGAATGCCTGTGAGGAATCCTCCGGAAACTAACCGTCTAAATCGGTAAACCGTCGGAGCTTGGCCGCCATCCAATTAAAGGCGTTCGCCTACCCGACCTACCACAGTTTTATCTCTGGACCTGACACTCTTGTTAATGTTTAGGGCCGTCCATGTCCGTCTAGCCCCTGTTTCGGCGCTCCATGTCCTCTATATTCTAGCCCCATTTTCCCATCCGTGCTGCTTTACCCCGAGCCTTTTACCCCATTTTTACCCCTTCGTGCCCCTCTGTCCCTGTTTCACCCATCTGACTCGATGCGTTCCCCCCACAGCGTCGTCTTTATACGCCAACTCTGAGCGGATCGAGGAGCGCTACCGCAACTGTCTGCGCTCGTACGTGATGCACGAGTTTCCCGAGCAGCCGACCCGCTTCCAGCAGCTGCTCGCCCGTCTCCCGGAGGTGAGAATCACCGATATAACGGGGTGTGTGGTGGCCTAGTGTCAGTAAGGCCATCGGGTGGATCGAAGTAGGTTTTACCCTGTCATACGAAAAACGTGACTGTTTATTTTAATTCATCCGCCCTTGACATACTGGGTACCTAGGAGTGACCGCTATTGGTTTGAATATAGAAATTTCCTTAATTATTTTCCGGTTGTTTGTTCTGTCGTAGGATAGTACCTAAATATCCACTTATCACGCCGATAGATGCGACGTTTAAAATCCAAGGGACCTCGCTGTGTCTGTCTCCAATCCGTCTGGCTATGTGATGACTGACACGGACCTCTCTGTGTTCTCCGTCAGATTCGGGAGGCGGCGGCGCTGCTCCTGGAGAGCAAGATGTTCTACGTTCCGTTCCTGCTGAACTCGACCATCCAGCGGTAGTTGGCCGGCCCCGGACACACACTGGCGCCTAGCACGCCGCCTCACTCACGCTGAGAGCGAACGCAACGAGCGAAAGGGAGCGAAAGCAGAGCGAGAGGGAGAGAAAGGGGCGACAGCGCGCCGCTGACCGCACAGGGTGTGAAGACTGTCTCCATACGGACGGGCGGCGCGGGCGGCGGCGCCCCGAGGTGGAGGCGGCGCCGCCCGGCCCCCGGTCTCCGGCAGCAATAGCGGGGCGGCGCGCAGCTCCGAATCAAAACGGCGCCGCCCCGACCGCCGCCGGACTAGTCAATTGTGGAGCGGATGTCCTCACGAGTTACCGTACCGCGCTGTGGTCCTCTGCCATGTTTTATACTAGTCGGCCGCCCCAGTCACGGGGGCGGCCTCGGAAATTCGTGTTGAGTTGTCCCGCGGTGGACGCGTTACCAACCCTCTCCGGCGCCGACTCCGACGCACGCGCGAATTGCCCGGCGTCGGGTGTGGAAATTGTTGCTCGGTTATGTTGTTGTTTGTTCCCGGTTGATCTGCGTTCTGTTGCCGGTACGGTCGGGAGTGTACATAGCACGCCGGAGTAGCTGAAATATCGAGTATTTATCACGAGTGTTATGTCTAGAGGAGCGAGAGGGGGCGCCGTGCCGAGTGCGGGCGCCCCTAGCGTGTACAGCGTGTGTACTAGGCTTGTCTAAGTGCCGTGTGTGTTGGGGGTCATCTCGCTCCGAGGGGCGAGCGGTGGCTTGCCACCCATTATTTTTATTCTTTATTCTTATTCAAGTACAACGGTCGTGGCGGTAGCGTTTTGGCTGCGTTTTGGGCGTGTTCCGAGTGAATGTGAGTGGGCAGCCGTCAACTTTAGTTACCAGTGTGACGAGACCAAAGTTTGAGTTACCACAATCTAGGGCGGCGGCAGTGTGCGGTTGCAAGTGCGCCCAGGTCGGTGGGCCAAACACGTTTTCTACGAGTATCCGATCATTTCTTTCTAATTTTGTACCCATTCGCTGTGGTGATTGTAACTTTTTATTGTTACGTGGACGCGACACAATTTTGTACAGCATCGTGATGTATGTTTATATTCAATGATTGTGTGCATTTATGTATGTTCCTACGCAAAAGAGGAAATATACCACTAAAAAATATTGACGACGTTGGACCTTTAGACACTGGGAACAATGAAGGAAATGTGAACTTGGAAAATTTATTTTGAGTGCTTTTAAATCAATGATATTTAGTGTGCTGGGAGACGTGGAGGCAATGGGTGGTCAGGATCGGGTGCATTATAGTTCTTGTCATGCGATGCATGCTGGCGGCTGGCCTCATTAGTAGCCCTTAGGTTAGGTAATAGGTATATGCGGCCTTGGGTTAGGTGTAATAATTACCAGTAAAACGCCTTATGGGGCGACTAACGGAGCGAGCGAGAGGGTGGGCCTTGCACGTGCGAAATTTCGAGGGGGTACCTCCAACTGACTTGTGCACGGCACCCTACTAACCGGTCTCTAGCGATGTGCCAAATTTGAGCACAATCGGTCCAGCCGTTCTCGAGATCTGGAAGCGGCACCCTGCACGTGCGCACGTGCAAAATGGGTCCCAACTGACTTGTGCACGGCACCCTAATAACTGGTCCCTAACCGTGTACCAAATTTGAGCGCCATCGGTCCAGCCGTTCTCGAGATCTGGAAACGACCCCTGCACGTGCGCACGTGCAGCAGCACCCCAACCTTAACACATGCAGATGAATTATCTGATGGAGACCTAACTGTGTGCCGAGTTTCAATTCAATCGGCCCAGCCGTTGTGCCGTTATTGAGGCTGCAATTTTGGGGGTTCTTAACCCGCGCACCGACGGGGGGGGGCGGATATCCGCCCCCCCCCCCCTGAGGTTTTTCGCGGATAGCGGAAAAACCGCGGCGCGTAGCGCCGCGAAATTTGGTATGACTATTCTCTCATCAATTTTACACATGGTGTGCAAGTTTGAACCTCCTAACTTTTAAGGTCAGGTCACCAGGTCACTTTGAATGACCCAACCTCAAGTCACTTTTTTGCAACTTTGTCACCGTGCCAGAGCTACAGTAGATGTCGGAGGCCTTTGAAACTCGCAGGATGTTATTAGGTCATTAGTAGCTGCAATTTGTATATCTCGGAATTTTGATGTCGGTGACCTAAGGTCAGGTCAATTTCGCGACCTCCCCATTATAAGTCAATGGGGGCAGCGGCGTATTTAGAAAATCGCGAAGGGGGGGGCCAAGGGTTTGGAGGGCGCCACCTCACCCAAGGAGGGCGCCATACGGTCGCGAGATAAAAAATCGCTCAGTGGGGGTTGGGGGGTTGGGAGGCGTTTTTTACCATGCCACCAGTTTTTTTTTTGCGTAACCTCGTATAGGTCGTGCTGCATTGATTTTGCATCGTGTGTATTCTTTATACTCCAGGTCACAAAAGGTCAAGTGTTCTTGAAATGCTGCGCCGAAGGCGCGCGAAATTTTTGAAAACAACCTTTTCCTCCGCTTTTTAGGCACGCCTTTTATACGATCACTGTTCAAAGCTCCTCTCGCTCTTTTACCAAATTTGAAGGTGTAAAAAATACCTAAGGTTTGGTCGGGCCGCTGCCACACAAACTGTACAGAAAGCTTGGCTCATGGGTGTCGATGTATAAAAGTTTATTGGCGGTGGCATATCTACGCACCAGATCACTGTATCGGATTGATACCGGAGCGCGAGATGCGTAAACATCATCCAAATTACCTCAGACCAGCCTTCATAGCCTTCTCACAGATGCATACAGTGTACCCACATAACCAGTTTCAATCACCGAAACTTAAGATGCCTGCTGTTGCGCCCGAACCTGTTGACAATACTTAATCGTAATCCATATAGATGCCATGATGCACGTAAAGTAGGATCAATCCGTTAAGACCAAAGACGTGTTTTATGCATCGTAGAGCGTAGATAGTTTTGGTAGGTATAGATACTAGGGTGTGTCACTTGATAGGTTTTTCTCGAAAATCTGATGGAAAATGGTCGGAAATTTTGCGGATGACCCTAAAAATAAGTTTACTACATAAAAACACGCCCATAGAGGCATTTCTCCACGACGCCGCGACTTTTTCTATCGGAAATCAAAATTCAGATTATTCGACTGGGGCGACATCTACAATCTGTGACAAACCGTATGCAGCGCCATCTACAACGATCCCGAGTCCGTAAGACCACAAGTGTTTTATTAATTGTTCACATATTATGTACTGGAAATACACGAAATATATTTAAAAATTATAACTTCTACATCAAATTTACTCAATTATTGATATTTAAAATATTTTGATTATCGAAAGCAGTATCACACACTTAGATATCGTTAGATGATTACATACTAAAAGTTTTAAAATATTCTTGACCATATTTTTGGATGTAAACAAAAAAAAATTTTGAGTCAATTATGTGACGGTCGTGACGATAACACGGTGTAGCACCGAACTGGATAATTTGGGTTATTTGTGGACTAGAGGCTCGATCGAGATCGGCGGTGTGATGCCCGCCTCCCTCCAGGCCTCCTCGCCGACTCCACGCCAGCCGGACACTGCGCTGAGGCGGGATCGAACCTCTCGGTCCGCGACGGTACGGAGCGGGTCGTCCTCCGGCAGGGCGCGCGCCTTGGCCAGCAGACGCGCCGCTAAGGCCGTGCGGCGTTCAGCCACCGGGGCGAGTCCCGCCTCCGCCATCAGGCCATGTGCCGGGGTGGATCGGGGGCATCCGGTCACCACTCTGGCGGCCGCGCGCATCTCCACCTCTAGGAGACCGAGGTGGGTTGGCGATGTTGCCGGGAGCCACGCTGCTGCGGCGTGTTCGAGGGCTCCTCGAACGTAGCCGGGGGCTACGACGCGGAGCTGCTGCTCTTGGAGGCCCCATTCCCGACCGGTCAGCTTCCTCAGATGGGCAGTCCTTGGGCGGACTCTCTGTCTCAGGCTGCGGCAGTGGGGGCCGAAGTGAAGTAGCCGGTCCAGGGTGACTCCCAGCAGCTTCAGCTGATCGCCCGCAGTTACGGTTTCACCTGCCACCTTCACGGAGCAGTTAGCCGCATCGCGGGGCCACTGGGACAGGACCAGAGCCTGTGTCTTCTGGCCGGCCACCGTCATCTTGTTGGCTTGGGCCCACTGCGCGAGGGTGTCCGCAGCCTGCTGCGCTCGTTGCCGGGCGACCTGAATGTCGTTACCGGCGCAGAGGGCGGCTGTGTCGTCCGCGTAGAGGAACGCCGTGGTGCCTGGGACTCTCTGCAGTTCCGCGGCGAGTGGGGCGGCCCACAACAAAAACAGGGCCGGGGACAGGACGCTGCCCTGAGGCAGGCCCGCCCTGAACACCCGCTCGCCGCTGGTGGCGCTCTGGTACTCCACCGTCGCTCGGCGGTCGCGCAGGAACTGCCACGTCCAGTTGTAGAGGCACCTGGGAACCCCCATCTCCATCAGGCGGACTCTCAGCAGGCGATGGTCCACGGTGTCATAGGCTCGCGCGAAGTCGAAGGCCAGGAGGACGTATTCTGTGCGGTGGTGCCGTCGGCCGCGCGCTTGCTGCGGGACTTGGGGAGGTTCCAGCCGTCCTGTACTTGTTGGACCAGGCGTCCGATGCTGTCCTCCACTGACCGTCCAGCGCGGAACCCCACTTGCTCGGCGGGGACCAGCCGGTCGCGTTCCACGATGTGGCGCAGCCGTCCCAGGACCAGCCTCTCGACGAGCTTGCTGAGGTGGCTCGTGAGGGCGATCGGGCGGTAGCTGCCAACATCCCGCGGTAGCTGCCAACACTGACATCGCTTGCACTGTCGAGCTGTTGTGTTTTGCTTTGGAGCAGAGTACTCAGTACTTACTGGGACTTTGTACCGGAATGGTCGCATTTTACCAGTTTTACCTGCCTGTCGTGTGTTTCTGAATCGTAACATTGGAAGACATTGTTATGCTGTGATACCTTGGAGACATCAAGCATTGGTTTGCGTAGTTATTGGTTTCTGGTCGGGTTTTACTGGAAATAAAGAAAACATTCGGGCCTGACTCGTGCATTTGATACCGAAGGCCTTTAAAAGGTCATTTGAGGGGACCTGGTGACCTGACCTGGGGAGACTTGAGGCTACGATTTTTAGAAATCATGCTAAATGGATGTCAATTGATGTGTAGAACGTCGTTTCACTTGCCATTTTTCATTACGGACACGACTGTGTAGAAAGGAACGCATATATACTCTCAGGCGCATTGGACTGTATATGGGTTATATATGGGCGAAACAAAAATGGCTGGCGCCGCACGAATTTTGATTTTTCGAAACTTTTACCGCCAGGGCCTTTCATTTCTAGTCCATGCGCAAGTTTTTAGCACATTTTCCGTTTGTTTCGTTTCAAGTGACACACCCTAAATTAGATACTTCATTCATTGTGCTGAATGCACGTTCATTTGTGGCAGTTTTCACAGGCAAGACATCAACTATGTGCAATAGAACGACTAAGTTGAAAAACATGCCAAAGGAGTAAATAAATGATAGGAGGGCAGCGATCAACGGATGTTGCCAATAGGTAGAAGGGCTGCGATCCACAGGAGGGCACTAATAGGTAGAAGAGCCCCGATCAACATCCCGAGTTTCGACAGTAGGGCACCGATAGGTAGGAAGTTGGCGAGCAGCAGGAGGGCGCCAATGGATAGAAGGGCAGCGATCAACAGGAGGGCACCAATAGGTAGGAGGGCGCCGATCAACAATCAACAGGAGGGCGCCACCAGGTAAGAGGGTGGCGAGGAACAGGAGAGCACCAATAGGAGGGTGGCGATCAACAAGAGGTCGCCAATAGGTGGGAGGGCGGTCATCAACTGGAAGTCGCCAATGAGCGGAAGGGTGACGATTAAAATGGGGGTGGCAATGGTGAGGAGGGCGCCTTTGCTCAAGAGGATGACACGAACAGGAGGGCGTCTGTGCGGAGGGCGCTGGTCAACAGGAAGGTGCCAGTGGATAGGAGGGCGGTGATCAACAGGAGGGTGCCAGTGGTTAGGAGGGCGGCGATCTACACGAGGGCGCCAATGGGAGAAGGGCCCCGATTAACATTCAACAGGAAGGACTAGGGAACCAATAGGTAGGAGGGCGGCACTGAACAAGAGGGTGCCAAAAGGGAGAAAGGCGGCCTTCAAAATTTCACATGAGGGCTCAATAGGTAGGAGAGCGCCAATAATTATGAGGACGCCGATCAGCAGAAGGGCGGCAATGTGTAGCAGGGTGGCGACCTACAGGAGGGCGCCTTCGGGTGAGAGGGCGCTTATTTACAGGACAGCGGATTACATAGGCGACCACCGTTACGCTTAGAGAGCTACAGCCTACAAATGTGGTTGGAGGGCGCCCGAGGGAGCCCTCCAACCGTATTTGGAGGGCGTATTTGGAATGGGCGTCCTCCGAGGGCGCCCTCCATCCGTATTTTCCCTGTAAACACATTCGCGATTGGAGGGCGCCCTCCAGTCGCGATTGTTTTTCGATTCGATTATATCACAATTGCATTTGCGATTGGAGGGCGCCTTCGGCGCCCTCCAATCGCAAAGGGCGCCTTCGGCGCCCAAGGGGGGGGCCATGGCCCAGTGGCCCCCCCCCCTGCCTACGCCCCTGAATGGGGGAAAAATCAACTCCCTGTTTTTACCACTAAAACGGGTCGGAATGGCCCCATATACTATACATGACTTCACATACGATCAACCTTCACTACCTTGAGGTCTGTTTTGCTGTTGGGCAGCTGTAAGGTCATGTGACGTCATCAAAGGTCACCAAAGGTTTTTTGTCAATAACTCCTTACAGGAACAAGATACAGCCGCGCGGATGGTCTCATTGTGTTCAGCTCGTCAAGACGCATCGAATGATATACATGATGACCTCGAGGTCACGTGACCTGAGGTCAACCTTTGACCTTGACCTTTCGAGGTCAACATATATATATCATTTGATGCGGATTGACGAGAGGATCACGATGATGCCCTTAGTTTGTTCCTATCTTGACTACTTCGAAAGTTATTCGAGAAAAACCTCCATATCTAGCGCCGCCATTTTGACTTTTTCGACCCCTGTGACGTCATCTTTGACCTGACCTGAAAATGACCTTAGTAAAAATTGTAGACCTTGTCCGTGCGTATCCGATGCCGTTTACCGCTTGTCGCTATCTTGCTTCGTTCTCGAGATCTCAGGGGGGGCGGTCATCCGCCCCCCCCCCGTCGGTACTAAGTTGGCGCAGACCCCCGTCGGTGCGCGGGTTAAAAAATGTCCAACTTTACCACGCGCCACGTGCGGTGGTTGGCAAGAACGCATGGTGGCCATCACACCACAGAACTTTTACGTCCAAGTGACCTTCAGTAAAGAAGACCGCTTGTCAATCGGATGTCCCGTTCCTAAGATATTAGCTTTTGAAGAGCGTCCCCACGGCCGGCCGGCCGGCCGCTCATACTCAGAAATTTCCGTTAATCTAAGGAAAGACTCCGCTCGCTTCGCTCACTCCGTAACGACGGCTGCCTATTAGTAATCTTGGCCACATGCTTCTGCAATCTTGGCTTCTGCGGCCTCCGATAAGTTGGATGCTCATTTGGTGCTATTGGACAGTTCATCACAAATTTCTGGGTGTTGAGTGTCAGAATGTTAAGTATGTAATAAGAAAAGTATTTTAGAAGCATTCTTTTATCAAATCTTCCTATCTCCTATCCCCGTAATTGCGCTTTGATGGATTTGTTTGATATTCTTGTTCAGTAGCTTTAATTTACGGGCGTTATGCTACCATTTCTGTTAATGTTTTGTCCCTTTTGCGTCATTGATGACACAATTAAGTGTTTCAATTACTGCGCAGTAATGTGTTCAATATGTGATTGAAAAACATTAAATGAGCTGCTTATGCGCTAACAGCAAATTTTGTATTTTAATATGTCCTTATTATTTCGTTATTTTTTGCTCTCAGATTTGTCCATTTTTTAATTTATAACCCCCAGATGCCTAAAAATAATTTAAATACATAAAGCTGTTCGCCCTCCTGATTTGTCTAGCTGCGCTAGCTGCTACTTGACGTCCAGCAGTGCTAAAAATAGAACACTATTTTATTGGCTTTGTTATGCAATCCTTTTCCTAAAGGGTAAATTAAATTCCGATTATCAGTCATAACTCCTTTTTTGTATAAGCTGGTTGCACTGGGTTTTATTAGTTGAAATTAAGTATTTTCCATTGTTCTGTTTACTGGATATTCATTTAGCCATTGCCATTGATCTTATATGGCTGCTAGAAAAATCTGATTACAAAAAATCATGCCAGCCATATAATGAAAACGCTAGGTTAGTAGGTTACGTCGGTATCTCCGACCGGCTTTATATTCAAAAGTGTGAATTTTTAAAATATTTTCACAGTTGATGTACTAAATTTCATATTTTTTGCTAGAGGCTAAATAGTGTTTGCTGCAGAAGCTTATCAGTGCCGACCAATCATTCATTTAATCATTACGTAGATATTGAAAAGCGAACTAAACGAACTAAATGCTGATTGGCTGAGCTTGGCGTCTGCGGTAGATGGCTGCATTCATGACATTCCTCTACAAGGCTCCGCAGTCCTGCAGGACTGCCTTATGCATGCATAAGGCATAAGGCATTCTTTTTGGATCCAGAAATAAAATATCTGCCTAGGGTGATTGCTGGGCCATAAAAGCTCCTGATTTTGCTAGTCTCAGCCTAAGCTACAAATTTGATATTCCAGTTCAAAACCCCACGTTAAAAGTGGTATATTTCCTTTAAACAAGCTTGAGTAAAAATTGCCTCAAGCACAAAAGACTCTTAATTGGATTTAAATTCAGCCATATGTTAAGGAAAAATAAATTGATATATATAATTGTCAAAACAGTCACTTGTTTCTAAAAAGTTCAGTAGATGTCTCAGCATGGTGCAAAAAGGAGAACCACCCATCATGTGCTGTAGATGCTGTAGATTGTGCTGTAGATTGAGATCACCACAATTGGTAATAAAACCAGCCAAATTTTACCTAACCTAGCCTAACCTGACCGAACCCAACGACCCAAGCTCACCTAAACTAACCTTAGGTAGGTACCCAACCTCTCCCTGAGTTATCACTGTGGATAAAATTAACATGTAATTTGTGTGATGTTTGCTCTTGCTTGACTTGTTGATCAAATGTTAGGAGTTTGTATTCATGCTGTTGTGTCCTTGGTAGGTAGGTATCATTATACCATTGCATTAGGGGTATTGTACCAAGTTTATTTGTTAACATGTAGTTTTCCTGTCATCAGTTATGCTAATGATGGAATGTTGTGGTTTGTAGCTAATTAAGTGTTTGCATTTCAGCATAGTTATTCAGCAGTTGTGACCAAGTGCAATACCGTATAACATGGGCAGTAATGTCTCTAAGAAGAGGAGAAAGTCTTCACTCTCTGACAGTGAAGCCCGTGCAAAGTTGCAGAGGAAGATATGCGTGGTAAATATGCCTGCTTGGCGCTTGGGTCTTGAACTTGCTTCTTGCATTGTTTATATGAGTTGTTGACTTGCAAATGCCTTCATCTAATATTTGAACTGGTTCATTAAGTGTTTTTTCTTCTGTTCAGGTGAGACATATCTTCCGTGAGAGTGCTCAGAGGGTATCACCTACTTCTAGATAAGATCAGAGGAATGAATGATGGGTGTAGTACTATACCCCAGCTCCCACAGTCCATATAGCACAAATGTAACTCCCAATGCCACTCACCACAGGCCGATGAGACTCCGGAGCCCGTCTACGATCTCTCTGCATGCCTGATGCGCAATGTGCCATCAGGAACCTATGCAAAATGCAAGGTGCTCAGAAAACAGCAGCTTCTCTTGCAGGTAAGCTAACCACATCTGAGAACTTATCCATGTAGGTATGCAATGCTGTCTTTGTAGCCACTGAAAATGACATAAAGATCACAGGGCACATCTTATACACATCTTATAAAAGTTAGTCTTTAGCATTTGCTATCATTACGATCCTGTATTCCCTTTCCAGGACAACCTGCTGACATCGCTGGAGGGCGGCGGGCAGCTGGCGGATCTCATCCTGCTGCAGGTCCTGCGTCTGGACAACAACTGCCTCAGCGTGCTGTCGCCCGGAATCGCGTCACTGGGCAGACTCCAGGTGGGCATGTCATTCAGCCAGAGAGGAGGTCTGCTTTTCAGATCAGCAGGGTGATAAAATCGAGCTGATCGGCTTTTCTTGTGATGGGCAAGGCTAGGATGATAGGATCTACTTATAATCATATCATCTTATCATCGATTATGGCGGAACGTCGATCTTTAAATCAAGGTTCGTCACGATAGGGGATTATCCCATCCATTGGCATCATCACTCAACTAGCACTGCTCGCCTCCTCAGGTTCTGAACCTGTCGAACAACTCTCTGAAGCACCTGCCGCCGGCGCTGGGTCAGCTGCAGCAGCTGCGACAGCTCATCTGCCACGATAACGCTCTGCGTGGGGTGCCGGAGGCGGTCGGCCAGCTGCCGCGACTGACCGCGCTCGACCTGAGGAAGAACCAGCTGGAGACACTGCCGGCGCTGCAGAACATAGCGTGAGTTGTCCGGGTTGTCATGAGGGCGGAGACTGTGGCGTGAGTACGTGAATCGGTCTGGGTTCGAAATGGTGGGCACTAATTTTGGATGTCTCAAGGTCGAGACAACTGAATAGGCACTGAAATGATAATGCGACCGAGGGCGTGGCACAGGTATATCGGCGATGGCGTAACAGGATTTTATTATGTTGAGCAGATGAGCTGAGGTACCCGGCGACTTTCTGATTGTGTTTGACGATGTTCGAAGCTGGAACATAGCGCTGCCCAGTGGTTTTGTTTGTTATTTGTGTTAAATACGTGTTTGTTTATTACAGTCGCATGTCCGAGCTGCATCTGGAGGACAACGAGCCGCTCACCTCTCCGCCAGCCGAGGTGGTATCCCAGGGCTCAGACGCAGTCATCGAGTTCCTCTGCAAAGGTGGGCACGTGATCGGCTGGAGGGGATACTACCGACAATGTTTGCTATTGTTTTACTCATCCCAGTTGACGGATAAGAAAACGTAACCTGTTTTTATCGACATGTGAAATGCGTCTTGAATTTAGTGAGTATTTTTTGTGACGCAGTCGAAATTAATGTGTTAATCGTCGATATCATGATTAACATCCTGCTTTTGTAGCATGATTTTCTAGCACGCATCATATAATATCACAATCGTCGTGGAAACGAGACCATGTTACCATACACGAGAACATGTTCAGCTGACCGGCCGTTCGGCCTCGTCTCCCGTATCCAGAGGCGGGTGTGGAGCACACGGGCCCGGTGGATGACGACACAGCCGCCAGTCTGCCGCCGACCAACTCACAGTCTTACATGGACGGCATGGACGGTCTGGAGGTGAGTGTAATGGTGAGATAGTCTGTACAACCAACTCACAGTCCTATACGGACGGCCTGGACGGACTGGAGGTGAGTGTAATGGTGAGGTAGATCACCTTACAGTGTTATACAGACGGACTGGACGTGAGTGTAAGGGTGAGATAGATCAGCTAGCTCACAGTCTTATACAGACGGCCTGGACGGTCTGGAGGTGAGTGTAATGGTGAGATAGTCCATCTGACCAACTCACAGTCCTATACGGACGGCATGGACGGTCTGGAGGTGAGTGTAATGGTGAGATGGACCAACTCACAGTCTTACACGGACGGCATGGACGGACTGGAGGTGAGTGTAATGGTGAGATAGACCAGCTCACAGTCATACACGGACGGCCTGGACGGACTGGAGGTGAGTGTAATGGTGTAATGGAGTCAGTGGAGTCCATCCCATCGGCTCACGGGCTTATACAGAATATGGTCCGGAGACCGTAGGTGAGTTTAATGGTGATATGGGGTCTGTGCGGCCAGCCCACGGTCATCTACAGACGCCCTGAACGGTCTGAGGTGAGTATCAAGGTGATATAGTCTGTACTGCCTGAGATCTGACAGGTCTGATCAGGTGAATGTATAAACCCATAAACAATTCTTAGCACTTCTTCGGATTTATCCAGCACCAAGATGAATTGCTGCAAACTAACACCTCCTAGGGAAATCTTCTTGCGTCGCGTGAACCGGTTAGCACTGCATGTGACTAACTTGGTGAGCACAGCTGCACTGTGACAGGCCGGACAGGCGGCTTTAGCTCTGCTGCCTGGGCGATGAAACGGGCGCTGGGCATGGCCAGACACCTCGCGATCACGATGTAATGTGATGTTTGTTATAACACCGGGAGGTTTGTCACGTAGTGTCTGCACGCACCACGAATGAGCAGGGCTCAGCTGTGAAGCTGTATCCGCGTCAGATCACAGATGCACAGTGTGATTGTGAATATTGTGTGTGTTCAGTGTTGTACTGTTGGCTCGGTGGGCCGTGCTTGAAATTGGTCAGGAATGTACGAGCGTGCGTCAGGAACGTCTGTTGTGAAATATCGTGACGCATACTGGATGCACGGGCGCCGGTGACTCGTGAAATCCGAGCGCCCGAAATTGAAATTGTCGCGATGCTGGTGCGTATGCATTTGTTGTGTTTTGAGGCAGGAATGCATGGTTTTATGTTTTCTAGATGATAAATGCCAACCTTTGTGTTTATTTCAGGAGAAGATGAATATCTATGACAAAGTAAAGGTGAGATAAAGTACCGTTTTGGACAAACTACTTATTGATCTAATCGTATCGATCATCAATTTTGTACTTTAGTTTCTCTATCATTGAAAAAGGTAGCTTTTCTGCAAGGGTGATAAAAGATAAAAACCAATTTACCAACGACGATAAACCTGGCTTTAACGTTACGCCTTGTTTATTTTTAAATCACTCACACCGACTCTGGCGGTCTCTGTTAGGAGAACAAACGTCTGGAGCTGCTGGCGCTGGAGCGGGAACTGAACGAGTCCATATCGCGCGAGGGACGCCGCATCGGACAACAGGAGGAGTTCAAAAAACAGGTGTGTGTGGGACACTGGCGATCACAGGATCTCTTACAATACTTGTGGGCTGTTGAGATGTGAAGATTCACGAAAATGTTATGCATTTTTTCTTTTCTTTTTTTGAAGCCGTGAGTTTGAAGCCGCAACTGCTTCCGACTGTTCAATTTCGACCCCGCTGTGCCGCTGACCCCTCCCTGTCCCGTCCTGCTGCTGACCCCTCCCTGTCCCGCTCTGCCGCTGACCCCTCCCCGTCCCGCTCTGCCGCTGACCCCTCCCCGTCCCGTTCAGCTGCTGGGGGAGCTGGTCGAGGAGCAGGCGCGGCTGGACGCGGACGTGGCGCGCGCCGCCGAACAGCGCACCAGAGACCAGCGGCGCATCCTCGAGTCGGTGGCTCAGCTGGAGAGCGAGGCGGACCGCAGCACGGCCGAGGTGGCGGCGGCGGCGGCCCGGCTGCGCGACCCGGCCGCCGTGCTCGCCCGGCTCGAGATGGACCGGAAGGAGCTCGAGCAGCTGGTCACCGTCAGACAGGAGGAGTGCGACGCGCTCCGAAAACACGACGTGAGTGAGCCACAGAGTCTGGATTTGGTGTAGGGCTGAGGGATGCTTGAGTGGCAGGGAAATGCATAAATGAATGGCTGAACGAGTTTACCAACCCAAGACACAAATACGTCAGCTGCCATAAGACGTGTGTCTGTTTCGATCTCACGACTACCTTGTGATGCCTCAGGTGCTCACCCCAGCCGTCCGTGTTTATGTTTCAGGTAATGGACTCGATGGAGAAGATGATGAGAGAGAAAATGGCAATGGAGAACCAGCTGCACGAGTATCAGCAGGGCCGCGACAGGACCATCCAGGAGGCGATCTCACAGTGAGTACCAGCAGGAGACGTTCCCCCAGTGAGTACCAGCAGGGCTGGGACAGGACCATCCAGGAGGCAATCTCACAGTGAGTACCAGCAGGAGACGTTCCCCCAGTGAGGAGTACCAGCAGGGCTGGGACAGGACCATCCAGAAGGCAATCTCACAGTGAGTACTATCAGGAGTACCCAGTGAGTACCAGCAGGACCATCCAGGAGGCAATCTCACAGTGAGTCGTGAGATCGGGGACGCACACTCGTGGCTCGTCAGCAGATCCATTTCTCTGATGTTTACCAATCTCTGATGATCTCTGATGCTTGCTTTGACACCCGAATAGACTGTACGGTATCGCCTCTAAACAAGCTGAATTAGGAAAGCACAGTGCTAAAATGGCTGAAAAATTGTGGTGCTCTAAACTACCTTTGGGAATCGTTTTACAATGTCAAATCCCTACAGCCAATGTGAAGTTGGCTGCCTGACAGCAAACCTTTGTCCGTCATAATTCCGCCCGTATATAACCACCGCTCCGCGCGTCCGTCTCGCCAGAGACCAGCGGATGAACGAGCAGCTGGGTCAGCTGCTGGAGGTGAAGGGGTCGGAGCAGGAGGCGCGCATCCAGCAGCTGCTCAAGGACGAGACCTTCCAGCGGCAGGCCTTCTTCAACCTCTACCTCCAACAGGTGCGCGAGGATTGAACGAACGGTCAGGGCACAGGAAATGAAACTGTAACGGACCTGTTTGTCTTTGGCTCTGATATTATCCAGCTATAGGAGACATTTTGTAATCCCTTTCATTGAATATTTGCCTGTAGTAGCTAAGCTGTAATGCGTATGTCGGGAGCATTCATAGCAGATAAACCGCCTAACTTCCAGTTCATCGCCGTGCATCGCATGGTTTTCAGGACTCGAGTCGTCTGCAGATCCTGCACCAGATCTCGGAGGCGGAGGACGCGCTGATGCGACTGACCATGGTGGAGGCCAACCAGCGAGACGCCACCAAAGAGTCCGAGCTGGTCAGTGGCGTAACCTGAGCTGTCATGTCACTGTACAGAAAGGATGGGTCCGGAGTGTTTAATAGGGCTGCATGACATTTTGATTAACGTGGTGAGGATTGGATATCGTCATTAATTAGATAGCGGTGTTTGGTGTACCAGTGTGTTGTCTGTTGGTCGCGTGACACAATTGGCTAAACGAAACGTCGCGGGTCTGGACGGTGGGTCTGTCTGTACAACATACAATACGTGTCGCTCAGGACAATGGAAGTTGTCTGTGTTAAACTGATGTACCCTGTTATGACGTGGAATAAGTGCTCTGCCATGCGAACTTGGGATGACATGAACATCGTGCTCCTCACAACAAGAAGAGCTGTTGTACGGTCTTCCTTTGTTCCCTGAAAGTCTGATGCTAGGTGTGTTAGCTCACATGCCTTTATTTATTATTTTTGGTCTTTAAACTGCTATCCGACTAATATTAGCTCATCTTTATGCCCTCCAGCCTACGTGCCATGACCCTCTGCTGATATATTACCTACGGTGATCTCTGTGGCCTGTGTCACATGCTGACGCCTCTGTGACCTCTGTGACCTCCAGTCTCGTCTGTCTGAGAAGCGGCACCAGCTGACGACACTGCTGGTTCAGCTGCTGGAGCAGCAGGCCGCCCGGGAACGCGAGCTGCAGAAGCGGCTGGCCGAACTGGACGAACAGAGGCTCGGAGAGGTCGAACACTACTGGCTCGTGCAGGTACGCGCCGCATGCTATTCTGTATGGTTTGGTGCTCGAGTCGTTCCATGCCCTTGAGATGCTCTAGAAATCCGTTTTACCCAACTGCATGGGCTCACGTCTTTACCAATTACAATATACCGCGCATAGGCAGATGACCCTTGGCTTCACACGATTCACGTTCGACTTGCCCGACCCGATCGACTCTCGGCTGTTGTTTGCCATGCTTTTGTAGTACCCTAACCCTCAGCGAGTCAGTTATTATAACGGCGTGTAGCTCCATCCCTGCTTTCAGTGCTTTACCTCCCGTTTACCCCCCCCCCCCCCTCCCCGCCTCCGCCTTGTCACCCTACCTCCAGGCGGGAATGAAGGTCTATTGGCTGGTCCAGGTACTCTGTATACTGTCGTCAGTGCGATTGTTTACCTGTTGGATGTTCGGTGTTTCGACTCGCGAGTGTATGGGTGTTAGAATTAGCGTCATTATCTAGCCTGAAAGCTGACACGACACTTGGTAGATGTGAACAAAGTGTTGTCGCTCATAGCAGTGCGACTTGGTGTAGGTATCGGCTGTGTACACAAGACATGTTGAATGTTGATATCAGACGAACAGACTAGGACAGGTACCCGCCTGATCACCTCAATATCATCCATGATTGTTTCCAGTTTATTCAGTTAGCTTTACAAAGCAGTTGTTACACGAGCATGAGCACAATTACGATAAAGGTAAGTGAGACGTTTGATGTAATGTTTAGCCAATCGATGGTTCGCTGCAATGATTTATTTTCATATTTTGTCTCGGATGGGGCGGACGTTAGAGCTAAGCATTTAGCTGGGGCGTGACAGTTGACGACGGATAAGTCTAAAACATGCCAAAGGAGCCCTTGCCAACCGCTGTTGAATCCTGACTAATTTACCCGGTGCGTCAAGCATGCAGTAAATAAGAAGTTGACTATTTTACTCTGTCTTGTTCACAGTACCAGCGCCTTTTGGACAGTAAACCTGAGCGCATCAGGTGAGCCATTACTTTTACTGTGATACCTTACGTGCATTTACATTACTTTACTGCGCCTTGCGTCATTTCTTGTGATTCGAACCTTTGAAGAGGCCCACACCGCCATACTGAACACACGACCTCGAATTCTTCTTTTTTTATTCTCTTATTACATCATAGTTGCTCGTGTTTATCACCCATAATCATCTATCCTTTCCATGACTTGATTCAGGCGTCTGGAGGACAAGCTGGAGCCGCCGCTGAAGAAGCTGCTGCAGTCGGCCGGTGCCGAGGAGTACCTGACCATGTTCGCCAACAGCGGCCTGACGCTGAAGCAGGTGCTCTACATGGACGACACAGACCTGCTGGAGGTGAGAGGGGTCGCGGCGTGACGGCGGGGTGGGAGGCAGTGCGCGAGAAACAGTGCCACAGTGCGCAGTCGACATCCGTGGAAGTCGCCAACTCAACTCGGGTGACAAATTAATTCGACTACACTCTTACTTACATTTACCTTTAACCGTAATTCTGACTATCCTATCTTTTCCATCTGTTTATGATTGATCCTGTGATTATAATTAGTCCTATCCAAATGAAATAGTCGTAAAATAGTCATACCCAGATGGAGATCAGTTGAAGTGTTACAAATTGAACAAATCCATGTCCCGCTGACCGCCTTCCCCCCGCCGTTCCAGCTGGGTGTGACGGACCTGTCGACTCGGGCGGCCATCCTGCGGCAGACCGAGCTGGTGAGGGAGGAGGGCGCGGACATGAGTCCCCGCCCGCCCTCCGCGCCGGCCGGGGACCTGCAGCCCGCGCCGGCCGCCGCCGCCGGGGGGACGGAGATGGAGCCCGAGGACAAACTGGCAGAGGAGGGGGAGGCGGAGCGGCCGGAGCCGTCCGCGCCAGAGCCAGAGGAGGTGAGGGGCAGAGGGCGGAGTGGGTCTAGCGGAGGGATGAAGTGGGAGGGATGGGATACAGCTGCGGGAAGGGGTTGTTGGTCTATTCGACTCATTGTCGTTTTTCTTACGGATGGTTGTTACAAGTCCATCTTGCTGATGATTGCTACATGTTCATTGTGTCTTTGCTGTTTTTTTCGTGATATCTTTGTTATGTAACTTCTATCGATCCATTTTATTGCAGGGTGCCATAGCTGGACCTTCATCCATGCCACGGACAACGCACACAGAGCTAGAGTGTGTCGTCTGTATGGACCACAAGGTAAGATCGGTCATTGGGTAACGAAACTTATCCCAACCACTTTGTCTGACTTTGGCATGTGTTTAACATTTTTCTCTCACAGAATGATCCACGATTTAAATTTTCATTGATAAGTAATAAATACGGGCGCCCATTCTCCCTCCCCTGTTGACGAGCCCCATACGGAGTGAACCTGACCTAACGCTCTCTGTTTCCCTCGTCTGACCTCCCCCCTGTCTTTCTCCGCAGACGGAGGTGATATTCCTCAACTGTTGTCTGACTCTCTCTCCCCCTGTCTTTCTCCGCGGACGGAGGTGATCTTCCTCAACTGTTGTCTGACTCTCTCTCCCCCTCTTTCTCCGCAGACGGAGGTGATCTTCCTCAACTGTTGTCTGACTCTCTCTCTCCCCCCTTTCTCCGCAGACGGAGGTGATCTTCCTCAACTGTTGTCTGACTCTCCCCCTCTTTCTCCGCAGACGGAGGTGATATTCCTCAACTGTTGTCTGACTCTCTCTCCCCCTCTTTCTCTGCAGACGGAGGTGATCTTCCTCAACTGTTGTCTGACTCTCTCTCCCCCTGTCTTTCTCCGCAGACGGAGGTGATCTTCCTCAACTGTTGTCTGACTCTCCCCCTCTTTCTCCGCAGACGGAGGTGATCTTCCTCAACTGTTGTCTGACTCTCTCTCCCCCTCTTTCTCCGCAGACGGAGGTGATCTTCCTCAACTGTTGTCTGACTCTCTCTCTCCCCCCTTTCTCCGCAGACGGAGGTGATCTTCCTCAACTGTTGTCTGACTCTCCCCCTCTTTCTCCGCAGACGGAGGTGATCTTCCTCAACTGTTGTCTGACTCTCCCCCTGTCTTTCTCCGCAGACGGAGGTGATCTTCCTCAACTGTTGTCTGACTCTCCCCCTGTCTTTCTCCGCAGACGGAGGTGATCTTCCTCAACTGCGGCCACCTGTGCGTGTGTCGCCAGTGCGCCGGGCCGCTCAGCAGCTGCCCCATGTGTCGCCAGGTGGTGATGCAGAAACTGGTCATCACCACCGTCCTCTGACGGACAGGGGACGAGCCGGACGGCGGCCAGGGGTAGGCAGGGCGGGGAACCGAGCGACAGGGGGCTATACTGGGGGCTTGACAGTTCCAGTCAGCATTATAGGGATGGAAGGATGAAAGCGGATTATTTTCATTGACCAGGACCTTGCTTTTGAGCGAGTCTCTGTAAAGCTGGGCACCCATAAAGCAGCGCCGTTCTTGTGAAGAGGAAGGATAATTTAGAGAAAGTCAAGGAGTTAACCTCTACATAGTTGAGATTATTGCTGCAGTTGTGGGTTGATGCCAGTTGATAAATGGCTGTTATCAGTCAATAGGCGTCACAGTTTTGACTGAATACTTTTTGTAATCGTTTCTGTGTGGTGTATGCAGTGATCCGTCTAAGTCAGGGACTATGGAAGGACTGTAGGTCCAAGAAGCCTGAACAAAACTGATTGTTGAGTTAGACTCGCTTGAGTTCAGGCTGATTCACTATTCAATACTCCGTAGTCCTTATATTGGTGAATTTATTTTACTGTCATAGTGAACGGTATAATCTTACCCCTAGCTAACAGTGCGATAGAATATATCCAAGCGTTAAACGCAATGGCATAATTCCGTAGCTAATTAAACTGTGAATGTTGCCGTTCCCTGTGATACCAAACTAATCGATAAAGATGATAATTATTGTGATTATTTTGAATTAGTGTTAGGTGCGCCATTTTGAAAGTGACATTGAACACCCTATAGCGGCACGTGTTATAGGTATTGCTTTTTTAACTTTACCACAAGCTTTGTGCAACGTGAAGACCCTGATACACCCCTTTCGAAGTTAAGATTGGAATTGAAAGATTTCCTCCTGTGTTGAATCATAGTCTCGGATGTATAGAGAAACTTGCATTATGAACAACACTATCCGCATGGTATGGCCACGGGGACCATTGCTAAACGGGGTGTAGTAATTTATTGCACGGAGCGCACCCCGACACAACCGCCCTCGCACAAGTCCCAGCCGGAAGAGAGCGGAGAAGCCCGCGCAAACTGCCGCCACAGAGCGGCGTCCTGGGCCCGGGCCAATCACCGGGCGCGGCACGGCCGTGTCCGCGGCACAGCCAATAGTCTGTCGCGTGACAGCCGACGCTCAATCCATCAAAAGCATCAAAGGCCATCAAAAGTAGGGCACAGCTGATCGTCACAGCTGATCAGCTGCGCCGCCGAGCTAATATCGCACACCGAGCTAATATCGCACACCGCTCCCTGATTCCATAGAATCACAAACACATCACAGCTGATCAGTTGTGCCGCCGGCCGGCGCCGCCCGAGCCGTACGGCACACTGCTACCTGATTCAACCTAACACTCGCACCAGTGTCGTGGCGGTCTCCGCTCGCGCTCGCTGCGGCGGAGCGGAGGGCCGTCGGCAGCCACATCAGCTGGGCGCTCATCGCCGCCACTCGGGAGGTCGACAATGATCGGCGGCGCCTCGCCATCTGACTGCGCATCGTCGCCATCGTCGCGGCACGGGCTCTCGTGCCGCGGCCGCAGGTCACGCACGTGCCACGGCACGCCGTCCACCTCAACCACCTGCCGCGACACACCGCTGGTGACGACACCGCGGCGGGACGTGTCCGTGCAGCGGGTTCCCCGGCGCCGCATCCACACCTGGTCGCCGACCCGCAGCTGCTCGCCGTCGGACACAGCTGGCGGCTCCTGGTCAGCACTCTCACCGGCCGCTGCCGGGCGGATGCAGTCCCTCATGGCGTATCGGTAGACGCCCGCGGCCGGCGCCGAGCCCGTAGTTTCACCGTCGCGGGGCGTCACGTTATAAATGTGGACGGCCTCCGCGACCGAGCACGTCCGCCTCGCCGCGATCACTTTGATGGAGCGGTGGCACCGTTCCACCACACCATTACCGCCCGGCTGGTGCACGGCTCGGAATCTTAGGCTGACGCCCCACCGAGCCGTGAGAGCCGCGACCTGACGCCCGCGAAACACTGTGTCATTATCTGCGAGGATTTCAGTCGGCGCGCCGCGCTCGTGGAACATCTGCTCCAGGTGGCCGCAAACCTCCACCGCATCCGCCCGCCGCAGCTGCCGCCACACACAAAACCGCGACGGGCCGCAGTCGATCACGGACAGGTAGGCCCGACCCTGGTAGTGCGTGACGTCCATCGCCACACGCTGCCACGTCTCCTTGACACCGAGAGAGCCGTGCCGCCACCGCACCGGCGCCGGGTCGATCGAGCGGCAAATGTCACAGCCGCGCACCACCGCTCGCACAGTCGCCCTCGGCACATCACACGACACGTCGCGCCGAGCAAAGTATAGCGTTCGGCGAATGCCGGGATGGCCTGCCCGCTCGTGCACCGCTCGGACGGAGGCGGCGAGCTCGCCCTCGGCGCCCGCACCTGCCGCGTCGTCCTCGGCCCCAACAGCAGCGGCCTCGGCCGGCACGCCGTCAGCCGCACTCTGCTCGCGCACCCAGTCCTTTGGCACTCGAGTCAACGCGTCGGCGAGATTCTCAGCCGAGCGGACGAGGGTCACAGTGAGCTCCAGCTGCAGCTCCTCCGTCAGCTCCCGGATGAGACTGACTCGCCGACGGATCAGCATCTCGCCCGCCGCACGAGTTCGCAAGCGCGTGCGCCCACTCAGCGCGTCACTGAGCCACCGGTGCACCGTGGCCGAGTCCGTGCGGAGCTCTATCTCCGTCGCGCCCCAGGCGATGGCCAGGTTCAGGCCGCGGACGGCGGCGTCGAGCTCAGCCATATTGATGTGTGCTGACGATCCGCTCGGCCGCAACCAGGAGGCGTCTTCCATCACCCCACCGTCCGGCGTCTCGATGACGACGCCGAACGCGATCGAGCTCGCGTCGGCCCAGACGACAGCACGGTCGCCAGTCCAGCACCACTGGCCGCGAGCCGGGTCCGCTCCCGCCAGCCGTTCTTGGATGTAGGCGATCTGAGCGCTCAGGGTGCCATCGTCGGTGGCGTCGTCCCAGCCTTCGGTGAGCTGGTTGACGTGCCGCTTGACCCAGGCGGCGGCTGGCCGCAGCCAACCGCAGACCGGGAAGTGAGCCACCAGCCGGCCGCACCAGGCGAACACCGCACGGCGAGTCACGACCTCTGGCGGCGGGACGACGGCACAGTCACGTGACCACTGCAGCTCTCCAGCGACGGGCTGTACGCGGAGGCCGAGCATGCGAGCTCCGTCTTCGGCCCGAGCAGGCGGCTTACACTCGAGTCCGAACCGGCGAAAGTGTTCCACCACCCGCTCGGCACTCACCACCTCCTCGTCCACCAACAGGTCGTCGACGTACGGGGAGACGGCCCGCTCGACGGCCGAGTCCTGTGACAGGACGGCACGGACCACGGCTTTCATCAGCAGCGGCGCAACATTCAAGCCAAATCCGAGCCTTGTCAAGCAGTGGCGCCGTCCGTGCAGCATCACAGTCTGATAAGGCCACAGCCGCCGATTGAGCCTCAGCTGCAGGTAGGCGCGGCGCAGGTCGACCACAGCCACACGGCGGCCGTGACGGCGCCACTTGCGCAGGTGTTCGGCACAGACATCGGCGTCCGCGCTGTACGCTGCAACATGAGCGTTCAGTTCGCGCATGTCGAGCACCGGCCGTACCTTGTTGGCCTGCGGCACCGCCATCAGCGGCACGAGTCCTCGGGGTGGTCCATGAACCGCCTCGTCGTACGGCTGGAGCCAGCCGTTCCGGAGCCACGACTCCAGCTCCGCGTCGTACTCCTGTCGCACGGCGGGTGGGACTCTGTACTCCGCAACTCGGTTGCTGAGGCAGTCCGGTCCGACACCGTCTGCCCACTTCCAGGCGACTGTCCAAACCTGGGCGGTCCCGTCAAACCGAGCAACGAAGTCTTTCGCCTCCACAGTCAATCCCTCAGGCGACCGAGTCCCACTGGTGGCGGCGGCCGCAGCTCCCTCCGCTACCGTCGCCGACCCTGCCGGCCGGGCAGCCACCGGCTCGCCCGCCGCGCCTCCCGTCACACTCACAGGCGGGGCCGGCCGGGCAGCCACCGGCTCGCCCGCCGCGCCTCCCGTCACACTCACAGGCCGGGCCGGCCGGGCAGCCACCGGCTCGCCCGCCGCGCCTCCCGTCACACTCACAGGCGGGGCCGGCCGGGCAGCCACCGGCTCGCCCGCCGCGCCTCCCGTCACACTCACAGGCGGGGCCGGCCGGGCAGCCACCGGCTCGCCCGCCGCGCCTCCCGTCACACTCACAGGCGGGGCCGGCCGGGCAGCCACCGGCTCGCCCACCGCGCCTCTCGTCACACTCACAGGCGGGGCCGGCCGGGCAGCCACCGGCTCGCCCACCGCGCCTCCCGTCACACTCACAGGCGAGGCCGGCCGGGCAGCCACCGGCTCGCCCGCCGCGCCTCCCGTCACACTCACAGGCGGGGCCGGCCGGGCAGCCACCGGCTCGCCCGCCGCGCCTCTCGTCACACTCACAGGCGGGGCCGGCCGGGCAGCCACCGGCTCGCCCGCCGCGCCTCCCGTCACACTCACAGGCGGGGCCGGCCGGGCAGCCACCGGCTCGCCCGCCGCGCCTCCCGTCACACTCACAGGCGGGGCCGGCCGGGCAGCCACCGGCTCGCCCACCGCGCCTCTCGTCACACTCACAGGCGGGGCCGGCCGGGCAGCCACCGGCTCGCCCGCCGCGCCTCCCGTCACACTCACAGGCGGGGCCGGCCGGGCAGCCACCGGCTCGCCCGCCGCGCCTCCCGTCACACTCACAGGCGGGGCCGGCCGGGCAGCCACCGGCTCGCCCGCCGCGCCTCTCGTCACACTCACAGGCGGGGCCGGCCGGGCAGCCACCGGCTCGCCCGCCGCGCCGCCCGCGACTTCGGTCAACTCGCACCCGAAGACCGACTCGTCTGCCGATTTCACAGTCACTCCGCCCAGAGCCACCACTGCGTCCATCCCGAGCACCAAGTCGAAACCCAGCGGTCGGTCGGCGACCACAAGCGCGTTGACGTCAGCGCTCACACCGCTGCACACCCCAACGCGCACAGGCCCGGTGCCGCGGCACTCGTACCGACCACCACTCACCGTGATCACGTTGATCCGGCGTTCTGTCCACAGCGGGCAGCGCGTCACGTGGACGATGCTGCGCGTGCAGCCGGTGTCCACCAGCGCCAAGCAGCTGACTCCGTTCACCTCCAGCCGTCTCGTCGGCAGAGTGCCAGCGCCTACTGGCTGGGAGAGGAGGCTGGCGCTGACGCCTCCGCTCCGCGCCCGTTTTCCGGGCAGTCAGCAGCGAAGTGGCCGGGACGGTCGCAGGTCCAGCAGCGTCGGGGCAGCCGGCGGCGAGCAGGCCGATCACGGCCTGGCCGGCTCCGGGCCGGCGGCTCACAGCGCGCCGCTGCCGTCACCGCCTCACGCTCATCGCTCAGCACAGCGCGCGCGCGCGCCAGAACACTGGCGAGCTCCAGCGACTCGGCGCGAGTGCCAGCCCGTATCACCTGCCGGGTCGTCTCAGGCAGACCCGCCACGAACGCGCACACGAGCATGCGGTCCGGCACGCCACCGAACAGGGCCGCGAGCCTCCGGAGGTCGGCCAGGAAGACGTCGGCCGACTCTCCGTGCTGCAAGCGGCGGCTGACGAAAGCCTCATACGCCGTGAACGGGTCTGGCGCAAACGCTGTGAACAGCGCATCCCGGACGGCGTCAGCGGAGCCACGGTCGGCGACCGGCATCTGCGACCATACGGCGAAGGCGCCGCCGGTCAGTCGCAGGGGCAGGACGGCTGCCAGAGACGCGCCTCGGAGCTCGCACAACATCTGGGCGCGCGTGTGCCACTGTACCACGTCTCCGGCGCCGTCGAACTCCGGAATGAGCCGGGCATCAAATGCCCCACCAGCGCCGCCCACCGCCGCCACCGCTCCCGAGTTGACTCCGTCCTCCATCGTGCCGAAATAGCTTGTAGTAATTTATTGCACGGAGCGCACCCCGACACAACCGCCCTCGCACAAGTCCCAGCCGGAAGAGAGCGGAGAAGCCCGCGCAAACTGCCGCCACAGAGCGGCGTCCTGGGCCCGGGCCAATCACCGGGCGCGGCACGGCCGTGTCCGCGGCACAGCCAATAGTCTGTCGCGTGACAGCCGACGCTCAATCCATCAAAAGCATCAAAGGCCATCAAAAGTAGGGCACAGCTGATCGTCACAGCTGATCAGCTGCGCCGCCGAGCTAATATCGCACACCGAGCTAATATCGCACACGGGGCGCGATGCATGGGAGGATTGGTATCTGGGAAAATGTGTACCAATGCCGGTAGTTTTATTATTGAGCAGTTACGATGCCAGTTATAGTCGAGTAGTCTTTGTTTAGGGATTATGAATGCATATAGCTGCTGTTAGTTGTGGTTAGAGCGTTTGCATGCCTGGCTGCTGCTGAACTATGTATAGTAGCTTAGGCAACAGTGAAGAAATCGGCGGGGCGCTGCATGAAATATACAATATTGTATGCATGAATTCATAGGTATTTATCGTATCCGCACTTTGCACCTAGCTAGGTAAATGCACAGTCCACATGCAGCATGCACGTCTGTTGCATTGTCGACGTCGTTTGCACACGATTCGCCGGGATCAGTAGCCTGTGACCGGAGGTGCAGCTGAGGTCACTTTCATTGTCATCGCCGTTTCCACTGGGTTGGTCTCCCTTTCTGTGAACGGGGACTGGCGCTGCCTACGGTGCCTATTTTTCTACGACTGATTCGACCGATCAATGCATGGGCAGGTAGTAGCAGAGTGTTCTGTATACTCTGGTAGCAGTAGCGTAGTCAATCAGTCCACTTACCGCCTTATCTGTGTCGTAGGTCCAGAATAGTGATGATGGTGTGCCCTGAACCGAATGGAAGCCAGTATCTTTGCTTGCCAGTAGCGGATATATTCATCCCTGCATGCTCATAAGCTCATCTCCCCTAATCCAACCACAATAGCACGCAAGACTGCGTGATAGCGCCGATGAACAGAACAGATGCTGAATTAGGTCCCGCCTCTTCTCATCGGATACAGCGTATGGGTTAGCTTCTTCGCCTTTTTCGCGGACACCTGACTATGAACTTTGTTGCTATTATGTAGTTGCAACTGCCATACCACTCAGCTATTTGCCATATCTCATAATGGCGAGGTGAATGCGCGTGTTGTGCCGCCTTGATTAACTTTGTTGGTGCTTCACATCGATTTCCACACAGTGCAATTTGGCGTGTGCCATAGTCGTGCTCAGCCGCGCAGGAGGAGCGATCACCGCTCGCCCGTTCACTGCTGGGTGGTGATTTAGTGCTGGTGTTTACCGCCCGCCCGCGTGGTGGTGCCGCGCGGCTGGTGTTGATTGTGAACTGTCGTAGGCACGCGGTGGCACCTGGTGATCACGTCTTGGACGCCGGGGGTTCAGTGGCGGTACCTTGTATCGAGTGTTGTGTTCCGAATGCGGCGCAGTAACCTTGTGCTCGCTACTCGCTCGCTGCCTGCGACTGGCACTGCGGTACTATGTGTGGTACTCGGATGCTGAGGTGCTGCGCGGTACGAGCGGTACCGAGTACTCTGTACTAAGTGTGGTACTCATGCTGCAGTACAGAGTACTCTGTACCGGTTCCACCGCTGACAGTACGTCGTCCGGTATGTTACCGAGGGTTGCGACATTGCTGCAGAATTAATACATGGCACTTCGCCACGTACTCTCATTCTCGAGACTTTCGGACCTCATAACGACGATTGGCAGTGTGCCCTTTTACCCTATAACATTGATATTCGAAATCCCAGCCACTTCATTGCACTTCAACTGCTGTCGCCGAGCCCAAAACGCCGCGGTTTCTGGCAAGCAGGACATGTATTCTGTAGAAACCAGAACACACGGTTCACTGTTCAGCGGGCGGGCGGCGGCGGACTACAGTCAGCATAACGGTGACGTCATATGACGTCATCAATGACGTAACCAGTGCACACGGTCACCTACTCGCGTTATCAATGACGGCAGAGCACTCTGCCGTTACAAAGGCACATCAATATACAGCAAACAATCGGCAAGAGACGCTTCACATTGGTAAAATGAGATCATACAAATATCGCCGGTCACATACCGAACGAACACTTGGTTGGGGGGGGGGGGAGCGGGGGGATCACTGCCGTAATTGGTGACAACAGCGCGGTAGTTAGTGAACACTTTAGGGAAACTGAGAGGGCTGCGACCGGTGTTAGCTGTACTCTGGGATATCCCAGAGTACCTCAGGACAGGAGGTACCCACTGGGCACGTTACAGCTGGATATCGGTGGCGTCACATAACGCCCGCGTGACGTCACGTAACGTCAGTATGACGTCACTGTGTGGCGTCAGCAGTCAGCCAGCGAACTCGGCGGCAGCGAACGGCAGCTTATTGCGGACAATCTCATGGCCTGATCTGCGGTTGGCATCGGAAACACTGCACAAAAACAAGCGACCGGACGAACACAGCAGCAGCGGCGGCGGCACGGACGCACGTACAAAACGCACACCACTCGCGGACTCGCACAACGCACACTCTCTCGCACGCACGGCTCGCGTTCCTCTCACCACGAGAGCGGTCTCTAGCATCCACCTCTCGCTACTTTGAGCATTGCTGCTAAGGACTAGAATATCGTACCCCGTCGAGCCGTGCCGGGGGCCCGCACCCGCTCGTTGCCTGCCGCTCCTCGTAGGCCGTCTATCTCTCCCTAACGTCTCCCGTCTCTCCCTGGTGTCTCCTCGTCTCTTCCCTAGCGTCTCCGGCTCTCCGTCTCCGGTTTTCTCACCACCAGGCGTGGTCGGCCGGCCGGTCGGGCCACGCCGGGGTCAGTGCGTCGGGTCATTCGAAGCTCATCAGGTTGGCGGGCAGCGGCTGGACGCGCACGCCGACCGCCGCGTCGTGCAGGTGTTTGACCCACTCCTCGGCCTTGGTCTGGCTGCACGCCCGGAATTTGTACATGTCGCCTGGAGAGATAGAGGTAAGGTTAGAACCGTGGCACGCTGTCGGGTTTGCTCACGAGTAATGATCAAACAGACTAATGAACTGTGTGATTGAAACGCTTGAAGCCAATCCAATAAGGGAGACAGGTCTTCATTGGAGACAACACTGGCGGTCAGTGGGAACAGCAAAGTACATCGTATTGTACGCCAACTTGGACCCCGGGGACTTCACCACGAAATGATCGAAAAATCGAGCCGCCTTACCCGACCCCGTATCACCCTCAACTGACACTGGATGTTTGTGTGGGTGATAGTGAAATGACAATAGTGTAGCGCAGAACGAGCAAATGAAGAGGATGGGGAAGATATAACAGAAATAGACGAAAGGCAATAACGAGGCACGATCAAAATTGAAAGAGTCTGAAAACACAAACAAGCAGTCAGACAGACAGACAGACAGACAGACAGTTGACTGACCGGAGGCGGGGTTCTGCAGGATGAACGTGTCCCTCAGCCACGAGACGTCGTCCACGTGAACCGACCAGTGGCGCACCGTGTGCATCTTGCTCGGCTCAGACTTGAAGTCGCTGCGCTCCGTACTGGACGAACACACGGGGTTAGGGTCAGAGCACCGTCTACTGCTCAAGAAATTCATGGGCAGCACTCAATAAGCGAAGCGACACTCCCATTTACTCCTACTGGACGAATTCCTCTAGCATGAAGTAGTGCGCGGCATTCGCAGACGTCGAAATATATTGCATGAGCTTGGGACCAGGGGCAACAAGAAAACGTGAGAAGTCACGCCTCCACGCGCTACAAAGAGTTCGTTTTATGGTTTTACAATCAACTCGCGACCATTTTTCCTACAAACCCCCACCAGACCTCTCAGGGCGATGATGCACAGACACTGGTGCTCACCATTTGATCTTTTTGCAGCTGAAGTAGACTAGACTCTGGGACCAGAGCTGCACCCAGTACCGCTGCCAGGTGGCCACCGGAGGCCGGCGGCCCGATTTGAGCAGCGTTTTGCGCCGCAGGCAGCCCTGGAGTGTGCAGACGGCGCCTGCCTCCATCCCCAGACACCCATCCTCCTCACTGTCCCTGGAAACAGGTCAGAGGGCGGGTCAGGTCATCACAGCTCCTCGTTTATGTAGCCGTGTTGAGCCACCAACGAACAGTTGTTTCCGTAGTGTAGTGGTTATCACGTCCGCTTCACACGCGGAAGGTCCCCGGTTCGATCCCGGGCGGGAACAATGTCTTGCACCCAGCTGGGGTGGGCGCGAACGAGGCGAATTTTTGACACTTCGCAGAGCACATTTCAGCCCCTCTGGCTCTCTGACCCCCTCAACATAAGTTAGTAACTGAAGTAGAGTAACGTAACTGAAGCGAAAGAGGAAAATAAAAAGAGCAGGTGCATGCTTGGGTCGCAAACAGCTATGGAAGAGCCCATTACCCCACCCACTTCCAGCCCCCACCGAACGTCTGGATCACCCACTCACAGCATGGGCAGCGTGGCTGTGACGTCGTCGTCTGCGGTACCTCCGGCGCCACCGTCGGGTAGGTAGAGCGAGGTGCACATGCCGTCAGCAGTGCTCAGCACGGAGTCGTCCAGCAGGTGTCGCTCGGCACGCGCAGTGCTGTCCGGCAGACTGCCGCCACCGGACACCGGCCACAGTTAGTGCGTGAGGGGGTGAGCGGGGGTGCTGGGAGAGAAGGGGAGGTGGGGTAGAGGGGAGGGAGAGTCGTGGGTTGAACGTGAACGATATATTTCTGGTATTTGAGATATTTGGGGAAGAGATTTGGCTAGAGATGGATGTTGTTTTTTTGCATTAATCGAATAAATATAAAAGCAAAATGCTTGAGATATGAAGCGGAAACGGCGATTCTGGCTAGCGGATTATCTAAGAAAAGTGGCATTTTGGGTTTGGGAAGGACATGAGTGGAAACATGGTGGGGAATAAGTCACACGGGTAAAATCAAAATTGAAAATGCAAACATTTGTGAAACATTTACGGAACCAGAGCAAGAGCTCGCAAGTCAACATGCGCAAATGCAATGCAAACTTAAACGTCAAGAACAACATCGGCTGCAAATAAAAACCAAACAAATAAACGAAATCAAAGATCGGAAATAGCGTGGGTGCGTGCAGCGAATAATGTACAAAGCCCATGTACGAGTACACATGGTTGTTGATCTTTCATCGATATGTCTGCGTAATTACAAAACAGCGCTATTTGTTAAGATTTTCCATCCATGCCGGATAGAGGTCGCCACGTGCATTTCAGTCAGTCCCTTGGCATATCTGCATAACTACCAACACCAACATCGCAGCGAAACGTTTCCCAGCCACGCAACGCATCATAAAATAACGTAACGCAGCGAAAGAACGGAAGGGAACGCGCTAGCAGTACAAAATAATAAACAGTCGGAGTCAGCCTGCCTCTAATCCGCGAACCAAGCTTCTCTCGGGGACCATCCGAGCGTTACACGCCGTTTTCCACTACGCAGCCCGCCACCGCGGCCACTGGCGGGTTCCTGGCATGGCACAGAGTGGAGCAGAGGGGCGGAGCGGGGCAGAGGGGCGGAGCGGGGCAGAGCCGAGGGGCGCCACTCACCCGGGACCCATGTGGTGGTTTTGGCCGCACACGCAGGCCGGAAGGTGGCGCGAACTGTTCCGAGGGAGACTCATACTGCGCGCTCTGCGTCGGACGGCGGACCGATGTTACACACAGGGCACAGGATACACGGAGTACAGGTTAGAGTACACACGGAGCACATATTAAGAGCACATACGCTGCACATGTTAGAGGACACAAGGCACAGGCTACGGGACGAACAGCGCAGGTTAAATGACAAAGCACATGTTAGAGGACACACAGAGCACAGGTTAGAGTACACACATGGGGATAGGATACATGGGGATTACGGCCGCACATGTTTCAGGAAACAAGACACGGTTGACACAGGGTTATGGGGCAGTGGACAGTCGGGGTTCAAGGGAAGTGGACAGTCTGGGGTTACGGCACAGGGGACACGAAAGTTACAGCACTACGGACACGAGAGGTACGGCACAGACTAGGGGGGTTAGGAAGTTCCACAAGAAGAGTTACAGAAACAGACGGTTGGTTAGGAAAACGGTACTTTTGGACGGTCCGAGCAGACGTTACAGCCGACGCGCAATGAGTCATCCGATCTCAACGACACAGTTTCCGATCAAAAAGGTTTATAATTCCCACCAAACACACGGCCTCGAACGAGGTGCAGAAAATCCCCCTAGCATCCCCAACAGCTCACTCTCTGCACCCCCGGTGTAACAGTGAATCATACGCCGCCCGACCGTTTACAACCGCCACCATTTGTGAGGCCGCCACTGCTGGAGGCGCCCCTCTCGTCACCACACCAGGCACGCACGGATAACCGGTGGCCACGACTGTTGGCTACGTGTTTATTCCACCCCGCCCACTCACACAAAGGGTGACTTCGGACAACAATAGACGGCGTGACTGGAGTCGAGTGAACCGGAAATGTCAGGCGGGCCAAACCGTTGGAGACCGAACGGCGAGGGCTGACTACCGGACATGTAAATCTGTATGTTTCAAAGTAAAAGTCCACTGATCTTTGCATCTCAATAAAGATGCATTACTTATCGATGCTGGGGTCGGGATGCGGCGCTCTGTCTGCACTTGCTGTATCAACGCAACAAACTACAACAGCATCTAAGTCTTACGCACTTCGCCTACGCTTCAACTTTTGCTCTTACAATACACCGTCAATCTTCTCTCAAAGGTAAGACGTTCCACCGATTATATTGCTCGAGATATCTGACGCCTTCTCTCAGGCCAGCCACCGTTCTTCGATGACTCGTGGTCCCCAGCTCACGGGCGACTTCCGGTGCAAAATCAGCCTCCCATTCACACTCTGACACCCAGGTGCGAGGCGACACGGCAGTGCTGGCTGGTGCAGCTCCCAGTCGGTTACAAGTTCAGTGACTGTTCCCAGTGGAATGACTCAGGTGGAATGCACATACAACTCAGTCCAGATAGCCAGTCATGCCTCGAATTCCTCACATTTGATTGTTGGCATTCGCAAATAGTGATTCGTTTACTTTTTCTCACGTCGTGCATTTGCACAAGATGCACATTGCGCGTTGAAGAGTTCGGTGGTGCGGTAGTGAAAACTGTGCAACAGCAATAACATATGTGCCACTCGTTACAAACCTGCCCGTATCCAGGGCTAGATACTGCAAATCACGGCCTATGCTGCAGGCAGCGAGATCAAGATGCGCGGGTTACGGGTCGTATACTAGTTAGCTGTCTCTTCAGTCAACTCCATAGCGCACTTTGGATTTGGTGTGCAGCATTCAATTGTTGAAAATAGCAAATGCGCTTGAACCAGCATTTCAGAATGTCTCACAAACTTATGCCCACAAGGTAGCACTCATAAAACAACACAACGACCAGCATACGGTGTCAGCACATCCTGGTCTTTGGCGTCGTTAGCACCTATTCTTTAAACTTCATCACTAAGTCGCCATACTCGAACACCTTAAGCACCTTTTCATCTATCTCACCTATAACACATCTCCGTACCTGTCTGACTTCTCCCCTGCCCCTCCCTACCCTCCCCCGCCATCACCCCTGTACTCACTTCACCCCGAGACTGCAGGCCCTGCGGTGTGCCTGGACGGTGGTCTGCCGGGCCGGGGAGGGCGGTACGGCCGCCGCCACTCGGTCCCGCTCCTCTGCCGACTCACGGCTCGAGCTGGACTGGGCAGGGGACTGCGCCTGGGGCTCCAGCTGCAGGGAGAGTCTGTGGAGAGTAACACGGGGTGTCAGAGAGACAGGGGACACCGGGGACTGCGCCTGGGGCTCCAGCTGCAGGGAGAGTCTGCGGAGGGTACACAGAGGGAGGGTGTCAGAGCGGATAGGGAGACACGGAGACCAAGCTGAGGACGACACATGGGCGGAGGGGAGAATAAAGAGCAAGTCATTATTTCATAACTCTTGATCACTGACAGTTGTACATTACAGTTGTACATACATTGTATTATTGGCGTAGTACCATGTCTAAATGCTATGCTGCCAGAAACAAACGATTTATTAATTTAGTTTTAGCAAAACTTTCAACTAATGCGCTTTTCATGTGTGTACGTTCGTGCGCGAAAATACTGTTGGTAGACGGACGTATGCTGATGCAACACATCGCGTTCGGTGAAACAAGCAGGAAATGTCGGACCGATGGTATCACAGCGCTTTGTGGCTGGCAGCCGAAGTGTAACGTTTTAATGATGTCTGCTCTACGTGCAAACATACAGAAGTACTCTACGGCTCACAAACTACCTATAGCAGGGAAGCGAGTATGTTTCAAAATAACGCACCGCTACGGTAAACAGCATAGCAAAGGATCCCTAATGACGCATTGCAGCCAGCCAATATATTATCTTACAACGTCCCGAAATATCTCAACTTTTAAACCAACCACAACTTCCAAACCCCCGTCCAGCCTCCCAACAACAGTCACTCACTTGTAGTTGTCCTCGTCGATGAACTTCTGCAGTTCGTCGATGTAGCGTATGGAGGCCAGGTAGCTGCTGACACGCGGGTTGAACGGCAGGTGCGAAAAGTCCGACTGCTGGAACTCGGAGATCGTGCGCAGGATGTTGTTCATCAGGTTCCGCCGCTGAGACGACTCGAGTCCGCCCGACTGCGGGTGCGCCATGTCCACGTACACCAGGTCCGTCAGGTACAGACCTGTGGGGAGAGGGGGTGGGGGTGTTAGTCTATAGCTGGGGGACGCCATGTCCACGTACACCAGGTCCGTCAGGTACAGACCTGTGGACCGCAGAGAAGGGGATGTTGTCAGTTAATAAATGGGAGTACACTGTACAGTACACCAGGTCGGTCAGGTACAGACCTGTGGACCGCAGAAAAGGGGACAGAAGGCGTCAGGCAAAGGCAATGCATTGAGGGGATTGTACGCGAGCCAAGTCACGTACAGACCTGCAGGGTGAGGCCCATCAGATATAAAGGTGATTATATAAAGGCTGATTCTACGTAAAGCTAAAACATACACGGATGAGCTTGATTAGCAAATATGCTCGGTAGCCATATAATCGCCATTCTATGTAATTGACTTGGAGTCAGGCTCAATTGCGGTATGCGACACCGCAAGATGGAAATCCACCCATAAAACAGACACTGGTCCAGAACACCCCACAGGACACACACACTGTCTTTAATGTTTATATAACACACCGTGGCATTTCTGCACGGCGGACCAGCTACGGCGCTGGGTCTTTCCACGCGTCAGCCATTCTGGAAGTCGGCTACGAAATCGTGAGCATGCTTGAAGGCCATAGCATGCGAGGAAGATAAACATGTGAGAAATATTTATGGCGTAGGTTTAGTGGAATGAAAATCATGCTCTTTAACAGGAACATCATTGAAAATATACAAGAGACAAAAGTGACGCCTTCAAATAGTCGACCACACTCGCTAAGTTTAACAGTGCTATTCAAAACATTTCAAAAGATATTTTTCATTTTAAGAAGAGAACACTTTTCAACAGCAGTCTTTAGATCACTCAGTGCACTTCAGAAAAGCACATTTCCGTGCAAGCGTCCGTCCACAGTTCACCTTCGCCACATTTCAAGCCAAGACGATGCGGCCTACGGTCCGTCTCTCACCCACGACCCTCCTACTCGTCTCTCTGAGCCGCCTCACAAAACCCACCTCCCCCACCCCCACCACCCCCTCCGCCGAACCCCCCACTACCTCCCCGTCCCCACCGATCGGTAACGGCACTCTGCCCTCGGAGACGCAGCCCGGCCTGGAGAACCTGCACTGTTTCCAGTGCACGGGCGAGTCGACCGATCCGGACGACCACTGCACGGACAGCGGCTGGATCTCGATCCCGCGCGGTCAGCGGCTCGACTACCGCTACCTGTGCCCCCGACACATGGACGACTTCTGCATGAAGACCATCGAGCGCTGGGAGAGCACCCGGCCCGGCGTGGCCGACAGGTTCCGCACGCGCCGAGGGTGCAGCGGAAAAACCATGACCAGGTGAGGGACCAGGGCAGAGTAAACAGGACCAGGTGAGAGCACACGGTGGAGAAAACGTGAGGGTCAGGGCGGAAAGAGGATAGGTCAGGGTGCAGCGGCAAAGCGAGGACCAGGTTAGGGCCGATCGGTGCTGGTGGAGACTCATATTCCATTCACTGTACTTTTCTCACAATCATTCAGTATGCAATGTAGCAATAATCCTAACCGCTTACAGAAGCCATGTAGCATGGCCATTTCGAAACCAAACCAGAAGCTCAGTGCTAGGTAATTCAAGGAACCAGACCATCTTACACATAAACTATCAGTACCCACGGCAACAGACGCGATCGAGGCAAAAATCGTCTGTTTATCAATGACATTGGAACTCAAGAATGTCATGTAGTACCTTACCCTGCATCAACTGACGCCACATAATGCAAATACGGATTGGCAATGAGGCATGCAACCCAAAGACGGGTCCCTAGGACATATTTCAGATCTACGTTGCCACCGCGTTTTCTTCAATAGCACGCCACATAGTTATCTACTGTTGGACCAAAAAGACTTACAAAATCAAGCATATAAGCAGAGCTAACAGGACTCAGGTGTTTGGACCCTTCTCCCGAATACAGATAAAACCCAATATCAAGCGTTACGCTTATCAACAACTTCATGAGACTAAAAAGTTTCAGGGAAGAACAACAATGTTCCAACGAAATAAAAGTTTAGCATCAAACAAGTCCTGTGAGCGCCATTTCAGAACCATCAATATTGGTGTCGGGGAGCGCGGACTGATTCGACGCCCACCGAGCCATGTGGGAACACATCGCGCCTCTTTGAGGTGGGCTATAATTAGTAAAAGCCATTAGGTCTGGGACAACCCTGACTCGGTGGGTTCGTTTTTGTGTGGGTTTTCCAAAAGTTCCCAGACTTTTCCAATGCCCAGGAGGAAGCAACAGGATTAGCAATTACACGTTTTCACGTCCGAGTTAGAGTTAAAACAATATTGGGCCACTAAATTCGGAGCTATGATCTGATTCTAAGACAACTTCCTGCATCAACCCACGCACCAGAAAACATTGACTTTTGACCTGAGGAAACGTGAACACCTTAGACCCAAAGGTCAAGGTGTTTGGCCACAACATTGATTCAAGAAGGTGGTAATCCCATCAATATCCAGTCTCAGACGACATCACACTAGTGTTAAGCGATATTTAGTTAACACTACTCGCTGAAACTCCTCTCACATCAAACGCTGCAATCTCTGGAGCGTTCACATCTACAAAAGCCCTCGCGCCCAAAGTCCGCTCGCGATGCCCGGTCATCCAACCCGGCCTGGTACGGGGCGGCACGGGCCACGGGGGCGTCACGTCACTGTTTGGGCACGGTATAAACACCCGGCTGACCGGCCGTGACGAGGTGAAGGGGTGACGAGGGTGACGGTCGCCAGTGACGCCCGTTTGTGACGCAGGCGACGGTCAGTGCCGGGTACCGTCAGATCACATCGGTTCGTATCGCCGCCGAGCCACCCAACGCCTCCAGCGCGTCACTATCGCTGCCTCGGTCACAACACATACCACAGCATCCTGCCGGGACCCCGGTCCGTCCCCGTGCCGTCCCATAGCCCCTATCTGACCCGACACCGCCTACTCTTCCCGCCTACCGCCTCTGACGGCACCGCTACAGCCGGTGGCATTTGGTCCGGGCGGCTCTGATAGCTGGGGTGATGACGGGACAAACTCGGGGAGAGACGGGCTCGGGGAAGCCCGATCGGATATCTCGGAGCCACCGTGGGCGGCCCGGGGCGGGGGCGGGGGCGGGGGCGGTGGAGATGGTACCAGGCACGGAAAGCACGGACCAGTCACGTGGTCCCGCCGCCGTTATAAACATACATAACACAAGAACTGCGTACGTAGGTCGGCGGCACGGGGCGATGACCAAAACACGGGGTTTTTGCGGCGCCGACGTAGCGTGGTATGTCGCAGGAGAACCGGGCAGACGCCAGACGGACACATTACGGGAACCCGGGGCTATAAAGCAGCGGGAAGACCCATACATACACGTGCTGTGTGCATGCATGTGGCCGCTGGACAGCCACGTGGCGCCGCGCGCGTCTTAGCGCGGCCCACATCGACCAATGGTATACAAGGTCTGATTAGGTCAGGCCATGAAAAGCTGGTTTTAACTTGCCTTAGTCGGGATTTCATCGAATAAGCCTGCTGTCTGGTATTAATTGAGCTTAGCTAAGTTACGTTCCCTAGGTTAGCACGGCTTAACCCGACTTAAATATGCTTAATGAAGCCCAAAGCTAATATGTAATCAAATGTGGACCGCTTTTCCACACCCAGGGGAGCCAAAGCACATTCCAGAGCTTCTCAATGTCAAAGAACTTCAATTTTCAAGGTTGAATGAATGACCAAGAGCTAATAATCCTAGTTAATGAAACTGCCCGAACCAAAGCTGAATGAATGCTAGTGACTGCTTCATTTTACGAGCGTCAATAATCTCCCGTCAGAAGCTGGAGTCATCATCATCAGTCATCACCTGTCCCCCGCCGTGACCGAACAGCTGACTGATGTTATTCACGGGTGTCTGTTCCCAGTCAGCAGAGCGGCGACCCAGAGGGCGCGGGAGTGGAGTTCCTCGTCTCCAACGGATGCACCGATTTCCGCAAAAACCCCGCCACCGGCGCGTGAGTAGACAGAGACAACTCGGAGAGAACAGGGACCTCGCAAATCAATCACTCATCAGCCTCCTCTGATTGATAATAGGCAGCGCTGCAACTGCTTTACGGCACCCATAAATCGCCCTAATCGTCCCGCGAACAGCTCGCAGTTGCAGCTTCTCCGCAGCGGGCTGAGCTCACCCCGCCAGTTGATCTCATCAGTCAGCCCGCAGCGCACGCGCCCCACCCGGTTAGTCGGGCCGCGTTCCCCGTGCCACCCGTCCTCCCCTGTCTACCGCCAGACACCAGAGTTAGTCGCGTAAAGCCGCCTCTGGTGCGCAGCTGAGTGTATCCAGAGGTCAGCAGGGCCGTACGTCGTACGTCGCCCCGTGCTGGGCCCGCCGCCGGTACAGAGACAAACGGCGGCGCGGGAGACTGGGCTGTGCCGGCCGGCTGTTTTGATAGCCGTCTGGCGCCGGCGGAATGCGAGGGGCGGAGGGTACGACTCTGAATGACGCGACCGCCGCCCCTTCCCGCTCATCCTGCTGTGTGTGTATGACTGTTCCACTCCGACTGTCCATGACTGGCTGTAGCTGGCGCTGGATAGTCCACGCCGGCCCTACGCTTTACGTCTGATGTCACATGACCCAAGAGTTGTTATGTTTTGTCTCAGAGCCCTGCGTACTACTGCGCGACCTTCTTCCTGGTATCAAGTGTCCACCCCACCTCACATTCCATGACTGGCACGACGAGAACCAGTGATGACGGGCCAGTGATGACGTTTTTCGTCACATTTCAGATACGTGCAGATGTGTTTCTGCGACAAGTCGCTGTGTAACACCGCGGCGCGGTGGGCGGCGCCGTCAGTCCCGCTGCTGCTGCTGCTACTGCTCGCCGTGACCCGGCCGTGACCGTCTGTGACGGGCCGTTAGCAGCGGCGTCACGGAGCGCAGGACCTCTGTGACGGCCCGCCAACACGGGCGTGACGGACCGTCAACACGACTGTGACGGAACAGCTGTAACAAGCTACCACCGCTGCCGCTGCTGCTGACAGGCTGGACGAAATGCCACCGCCTCAGTGCAGGCAAAACATCATAAGCAAGCCATCATCAGCGGGATTTCCAGTTACCGTCGCCCACTGACCCCATCACTACATCTACCGAGGCGCTGCCGGCACGCCCCACCGGCTCTCTGGCTTCCTTCTCAGCTCAGCGCATCAGTGCTATCTTCTTACCTCGCCGCCTCTCTGCCTTCCTTCTCACCACCATATCGGCTCTGCCACCCTTCTCACACCTCACCGCCTCTCTGCCATCTTCTCACTGCCTCACCGCCTCTGTGCCATCCTTCTCGCCACCCGCCGCTCGTTAGCCCAGCCCGTGAGCCCACTCACCCGTGACGGCTCACCGCTCCACGGCACGGAACCACAGCGGAGCACGGAGCGAAGAGTGATTACATCAGGGCCTCCGGCACCGAGTCAACAATGACCGGGCCGCGGCGCGGCGGTAACGCACGGCCGACCAGCGGGAACCGACGGCGCGCCGCGCGGCCCAGTGGCCGGCGGCGTGACACACTGACACAATGTCGGTGACACAGTGCCCGACCGGCCGCAGCGCTGACACGCGCCGTGACACACTGACACAATGGTGGTGACACAGTGCTCGAACTTGCTGATACGCGGCATGTCGTCTGTTGTGACACGGCAATGCATTGATTTGTGACACAACGGCTCATCTATGACAAGCCAATTGATATGATGCTTAATTTGTAGCTCGATTTACAGCCAGCGCGTGCCTCCACGCACGCCAATGAACCCACTGCGCCTGTGCCGACCTCCAGACGGTCAAATTCGTCCGGCCGGCTGCACTGTATGCCTCGCTGGCGTGTTGAGCCAATCACCGCTGGCAAGTGGCCCACCGGATGGCGAATAATCGTACACATTGACGCCATAAGAGCCGAGTGTTGGACGGTCGTTCACCCACGTGGCTGAGGATTGTTGGCTAGTAAAGCGCAGAAGGGTGTTCCCAGACGATGGTGAAATGCTCGCCAAAGGTCGGCGCGGGCCGGAAACTGCGTGCTGTATTGGTGGATATATCGATCATGCTGTCGCCCAGACGTCAGGTGGGTCTATATTGGGAACGATCGATTAATTCAGACAACATGTTGATGCTGTTAGATGCCGGCCTTCGGAGATTGCTTATTTGTTGGGAGATGAAAGTGGGCTGAGTGTTGATATTTGTAGTAATAACAGCTACCGATAGCACCTTGCATAGCTCAATTTGGGCATTGCCTTCACCGATATTCGATCATGGGCAGGTTACAGTTTCTTTGAAACCACCCAACGCTTAGTATAACAACATATTTCAAATCGGTCGCGGACTCTTTGCCCTACGTCTCAGTGTGTGTATTCTTTAGTGCACGACACAGAGGCACGGCAGAGTTTTCACTTACCCAGGTAAGGTATACACGGCAGCTTCGCTCGGGACAAGAGGTCGCGGAGTTTCTCCCAGTTGTTGACATCCAGAAACAGCTCGCGTTGCTTTTCAAACTTCTGCAGAACATTCTTGGGCAAATGTGCCCACATCTTTTGTAACCTGAAAGGAAAAGAAAGGTTGCTTTAAGACGCAAGCCACATTGTATTGACTACATATTGACGTGAAAAGTTACGAAATAAATACAACCAATCCGACATGCCATTGAGTACGGTGTAAAAGGAAATAATTCATGAGCTTATTGGTGAAGAAATACCACGAAAACTCGAACCAGTCGGTGTACGATACCAATAACTGTGTGTGCCAGAATAATAGGACGTTTTGGGTTTCTGAGACACGGTGTAACGGAAGCCAAACGTCGGCATAAGAAACGGACCGCGAAACACAATACCATTTATGGCTTCGGTTGGCTACCGATACCAGCACGTCGCTAGGTACAATGTATTGCGCCCACTTCTTGAAAGGTTTCTATAAATGACGTACAAACATAAATAACCTTCACATATTTCCTTGCTTTGTTCGTGTTAGCACACCACTCAGCGGACCGGTAAAACTAACAGAACTGGAGCTGATTTCACATGCAAAAGCCACGTGTAGACCTATTTCCGTCGTGCTTACATGGAGATTATCCTAATAAATCGGGTTTATCTAGTGTAATCGCAGACTCGGGCTGGCGCAACAAAGACGGGGAAAACGCCAACGAACTATGAAAATCAGCTGACTGGACTAAGCGCTGAATCATCGGTAATTAACAATGATATAATAATGTGCCACAAACAACACTTTCCACGCTGAATTAATCCATTACACAACACTCCAGCAATCCAACAGCTGCTGATTCCAGAGTGCCAGTACTAACATAAAACAACTTCAGACCGACATTTTACCGATTTAAGCCAGTACTAACACAAACAAATACCATGGGAGAAACATGCGCCGCAAGCCCTCCTCCCTCCCTCCCTCTCTCTCTCTCTCCTCCCCTCTGTCCCCTCTCACCGGTAGATGGGCGCCGTTTGGAGGGCCGAGATGATGGCGAACTGGCCGTGCAGGTTGTTGAACTCCTGCAGTCGTTTGGCCACGCGGATGAACAGACCCAGCACCTCGGCCCGCTGCTTGACGCTGCGCACGTTCAGGATCTCCTTCACCGTCCAGAAGCTCACCTGCCGAGGCAACGTGGCGGTCAGGGTGGCGGTTAGGGTGGCGGTCAGGGTGGCGGTCAGGGTGGGTGGGGAAGCCAAGATTATTATGCGAGCGCTCAGAGTGAAGTATAACCGGACACTGATGGTGATGGACAAGGCAATTTGGTGGTGATACAGACCGATGGGACTAGAGACGATAATGACCAGTGGTTGCAAATGCACATGGGGCTACCAAAGCCCAGTGCACTTGACGCTGATCATAATGAAAATGAAAGACAAAGATTCATGATTTCGGTAGCCGAAATCCTCGCAACCAAATACGGTCAATAAGCCATCAGTTTGCAGGCAAGCCCACAAACGACACAAACTCCACAGAAAAAATAGTAAATCCTCCTTAATTGGATGACAATACAGTACAACACCCAAATAAGAAAACACAAAGAAGCACCGAGCCTAATCCCACCAGCCCGGCATACTCTGCAGCTGCGGTTCTCCTCACTACACCCCACCTCCAACATACCCGTCCATTCCCCGAAAACCTCCACAGTCTGATCGTGTCCACCGACTCTCTGGTCAGCTCAGATTACCACCGACAGCTCACAGCGGTCCCCAGAACATTACCGCCGTAACCAGGACGGTTGGCGGCGACGGACACCTACCGTTCCCTATTCAACCCGCGCCGTGACGGGCGGCACGGTGTGAAAGGTCGTCGTGCTCACGTCACGAGAGGAGGGGGAGGGGTAAATCCGGTACTCGTTCTCAATACGGGCGGTCTGTCGCCGGGTGGTTTTGGGTCGAACGGTAAGGTGCTGGGATACGGTGTGATCGGGCTAATGGGGCGATCAGGTTAGGTGGTAGGGACTGGGGACAGGAGCTGGTACCCGCCCACGAAACGGAGCGGGCCAACGGAGACACAGAGAGAGTCGGCGGATCGTTACTGAGTGACTTGGTGTTTCAACACCCACGGCACAGGGTCTCTGCACCCAGCTGTGGCACGACCCATGTCTCATCGCAAACAACAAGGCACGAACTCGACACCCACGCTTCACTGACCTTATCCCTTCTCATACAACCCAATCCCAACCCACTACATGCCTTAGCTTTCCAATATCCCAGTGTATCAATCACCCGTACCAACCCGCTCCCCCAGCGCAACTTTACCTGATTGAAGCGTCGGGTGAACGCCACGACATTAGGCGACAGGATGTGTTTGTCGCGCCGGTTCCAGCCGAGGCAGGCCAGCTCGTCGGGCTGGATGCGTTTGAAGACCTCCCAGTCGGCGCGGGTGATCTGGGAGGCGAACTCCTCGGGCGGGATGGTCAGCACCTCGAGGAAGGCCGGCTTGCCGCTGCCGCCGCCGCCCACCGCGCGAGGGAGGCTGCCGCAGAGGAGGTCGGCCGTCACTGATCTGCGGCACATGGCGGGCGTGACGTAACGTAACGCGACATAACGTGGCGCTCTTGGTTATACGCCAGGTCTTTGTGTGTTAGACAAAAGGATTGGCGAATACTTCTGCATACCACAAGGAAAAAACACAGGCTAGCTGCACAACTGCATCCCAAATGCACTTCGTTGGCAAATTTCAGCAGTTAGGTAGCGGCATCAGCCTGTCGCAATCACTTGGCTTGCGCCACATTGACAAGGCACAGACTAACAGTTAGCATAGACGACAAGCCCTTACATCCTGGGTCTCAATTTGCAATGGACATCTGCTGTCTGAGTGAAGCAAGTAAATTGGGTTTTGGAATGAGCTTCTGGAAGCTACTACGTATTGGGAGGGCCTGGGAGGCACCGTACCGACGCCCCAGACAGTCGTGCATATCCAAACATGTTTATGTACATATGCACCGATCTTGATCGAAAGCATCTTCCTTTGTACACAGAGAAACATTAACCATTAACTATGATTTAGCCCAAGTCTCCAGCTGGTCGATGGTAGGTAATATATCAAACCGTCCTTTGCCATCTACCACTCGTTCTCCCCACAATAAATCGCATCACCCTCCGCCTCCTCGGACCAGCCCGACCCTGTCAACAGCGCGTCGTGTACAAGGACACGCCGGCACGGCTCGCATGCAAGCCAAATCACGTGCGGACCGGTCTGACCGCCCTGACGGTCGTCCCACGGACGTCACTGGCCAGCTGCTTACGTGATGGTCAGCAGCGGCTCTGTGCCGTCGTCACAGCAGACGGACAGCGGCCGGTAGCAGCCAGGTACGGAGGCGGAGCGGGCTACTGCTGCTCGCTGAGCCAGCGTCGGCGGCACGGGCAACATCCTCAGCCGTTCACCCCGGGCGGTGGTTGGGGTAGCGGACTGTAACCACTGACTACACACCACGGGGTGGTTCAACTGCACAGACTCCACACCCACACACGCGCGAGGGCGCTCGCACTTCCGCGGCCGCGGTCACCGGCCGGATATCCGCGGCTCCGAGGCGCCCTCAGCTAGGAAGCTCGCCCCCGCCCAGAGCCACAGAGAGACACGGAGTTCGCTCTGGAAGCGGCGCCGCACCGAGTACAACTGGGGCCACTCGGCAGAACAGCGCCGACACAGGAAAACCACGCCGGAAAACCACGGCGGCCACAGACACAGGGAGCTTTATCTCCCAGGAATTCCGCTGCGCCCCCGCGCCGCCGCGTGTGTGTGAAATGCAGCAGCCTGGGAGTTTAGATATTTGTTGCCTTCAGCTGCACTATTCAAAGTTCAAAGTGTTGTTTTACAGATGCTCATGTGAATACGAGAAAACACAACCAACTTGCGGAAAGGAATGGTGATCTTAAGTTATCAAAGCATAACAAGAGCAAAAGAGTTCGAAATATGATCAGCTCATCGCTCACCACTCTACACGGTAAATATCGAACGACTTTCAAAGACACACTCGCAGACGCCTTTCCAACGGAAGCATCTTTCGTGCCAAATACGGAACTCAGGTGGCTCTTAAGTGCTACCAGATGTTTCATAGGGAATACCGCGCCGCCGACGCAGCAGCCGGGGCCAGAACGGCAGATAAAACACAGTTACGACCGGCACAGATTCTGTAAAGCGTAACTGGGGCTCCGTAAAGCGTAACGACTCCTATCGGTTCCGGTCGTTAAGCAGAAGCCAATCGGCTCGAACGGAGGGCACAGGGGCGACTCAGCGGCGGAGGCGGGGTCTTCTGAGGGTTATAACACACCCGTGTGTTTTGTCCCTCGCCCACCGCACATCAAGGTCATGTGGCGTCATGAAGTGATCCGTAACTAGGCCCAAGGTGGAGACCATAGGACACCTGTCAGCTATATGAGCCAATACCCGATAGCGTGTGATCGCCGCGGTCTTTGTGGGCCGATAGGAGTTAGAATACGGCCTTGCCACTTCAATCGGGACCTTGGTGACGTACTTTGTGTGATAACAAGACCACCGCGATGAACCGAGTGCCGCCAAATGCCCGATAACTTATAGCCGATAACAAACAAACTGGCACTATCGCATCTCAACGAATCAAAGTAATTCCAGATGAGTACTATCACGACATCACATCATGACCCCAGGCCGGTGACCTTCCACAAACCATGACCTCCGCTCACCCATCTGGCTCAGATCCTACAACAAATATCCTCCAAACCCTGCAGCATGTTCATACTCCAATGAAAACTCTGCCGGCGCCGCCCCGAGTGTGACGTTTGGCACCGGTCCACCGCTCCCCGTGACCGGCTGGGCCGTTACTGCGCCCTCCCGACGCCTGGACGGACAGACGGCGGCACGGCAGCTCACGGCCTCACCAGTCACCGGGCGCCGCGCCGCGACGAGCGAGGTGACCCGACCCGAGACCTGCCTGTTCCGGGAGATAGAGTGGCCAGCCGGAGATCCCAACAGGCCGTGTCGCTGGCTGAGAGGTTCTATGACGCCATCGAGACTTGATGATATACCAGACCTTATATTACCAATGTAATTAATGAGGTGTCACGGAATGTCAAGAACAGGATGAACATCGCTGGATGAGCGATCAAGCCCAATAATCCAACCCTGCCTTCAAGCTGACCCAAAAGCGCGGCCTGTTCTGGGAGGTCACACTCACAACCCTGACCTGACCGGGGGACCTAGCCGACCTGCCTGACCCGACGAGGCGACCTGACTGACCTGGCGCTGAAGCAGGTGGTGACCTTTTCGTCAGGCGACTGTCGGCAGCTGCCTCGCCGAGAGTTGTTCCGAGACAGCCCATAGCGGCCGCCTGAAACACAGAAAAACAACGATAAAGTCAAAAGTCGCACCCAAGATGACGCGGTATAACTTGAGAGCAGAGCTGGTGCATCTTTCATAAGCAGACACGTGCAGTAAGACAGCGCAAATCACAGAATAATGCGGCCTGACTCACATGGGCTTGGTCTGAGAAATCTAGACCGAATTATGGCTTACAAGTGACAGATATGATGATCATCACAGACAATGCAAGCAGTGGTTATCATAACCAGTTCACCACAGTCATGGCCACATCAGTGTCATCGTGACTTGATAATTTCATCGCGAGACGACCATAATCAGATGATGGTCAAATCACATTAGACGCTTCACTCCCATTATTCCCAGAAAGCTGTTGCAATCATCGACACTTCGCGGTGAAACTGCTCCGAAAGTCTCCGAATTCAGACTATCGTCCCCGAATCCTCACTGACCCCATATACAGCAGCGACCGTGTAATACCGCACCAAAATCCCCGTAATCCCTCTGATCACACCGCGCGCTTCTGTGCAAACCCGATTCGCCTGTTGCAACTACCACTGCACGCGCTCTGCGCTGCACAAATCGGCGGCAGAGTGATGGCGAACACGAGCGAACACGGGCCGCGCGCTGTCGACTGGACGGACAGGGAGGCAGTCAAGAGGCACGTGTGGGCTCCTCTGCAGCCACAGACAACGGACGGGGTACGGTGTGATTCACCGCACCGTCTGCAGAGGAGCGGGCTGTGATCGGACGATAGGGAGCGGCGGCCGAGTGGGTACGGTTAGCGCCGTATGCGAGGCCTGTCTGTCCGTCTGTCTGTCGGTTGATCGGTATGTGGCGGAGCCCACGGCCACCGAAGTCGGCGGCTGATCAGGAGATCGACAAGCCGCGACAACGGCGATGGGGCGGTGAAGGCGGGGGCGGGGTGGGGGCGGCGGCAACAGCAGGTGGTAGGGTTAGACAGAGAATTGGTAACTAGAGTTTTTCCTCGGAGGGGTGAGAGGGTACGTGGCGACAGGACGCTTTTTCTCGCTTGACAGCACAATAGCCGTTTTTGTCCGCCAGATTGATGCCAATTGTCACAATCAAAGTCAGCACGTCCTCTGTTGTGTTAAACTGGCGACAATTGACACACCCTGTTAGAGACTACTCCAGACACGTGCAAACACAGAGGAGTGCTAAAGACTAACCCTGTTAGAGGCTACCCCAGACACGTGCAAACACAGAGCAGGAGTGTTAAAGACTAACCCTTTAGAGACTACCCCAGACACGTACAAACACAGAGCAGGAGCCAGACCGCGAGCCAGTCAGCACCTGGTCCGCCCGGTTATGACCGGGGACTGGGGAGAGCAGCCCAGAGGCAGGCAGGGTGAGGAAGAAACCGAACCGCACACCGCCCACGCATCTGTCGAGCCAAGATGACGACTGCACCGCGGTTAACTAGGGGAGCTCACTACCAGGACAAGGCTCACCAGTTAGGCGGAGTAAAAATAGGCACGGCATAATCATTCCCGTCGGCCTTGAGAGTCGGTGCAATCGAATACTGTTGAAAATGAGCAGAGCACTATGTCCTGCTGCAAAATGAGCCCGCTGTGCGGAATTTGGTGGGTGTCAACAGAGTTACTAAGTTACAAAGTCTGATATAACATGTTTCAAACGCACCCCCAGCCAGACAATTGACTACGGCTGATATCACACGTTTCAAACGCACGACTAGACAGACAATTGACAACGATAACAAAGGTCAGAGAAAGGCTCGCCGTCCGTATTAAATAGGAACCGACCACCGACGTTTTCGCAAGTCGTCATGCTCTGTGGCCTACAGGTTATCGAGGCATATCGGGCCCGGGCGCCGCACAGGTTCCATTGTGTGCCTCTATCTGAAAAGTCTGATAGCAGTGCTGAGTTCGGTTCTGATGACCGCACGAATACTTGGCACGACAGACGTTTCAGGTAAATAGGGCCGCGGATCGCCTCCGCGAACAGCCCGATAAGAATCGCGGACAAAAACCGAGCAGCACGCAGTACGGTTCGGAGGCTAGTTAGTGGTCTGTACGGCTGGCCCGCGCCATCATTCATATGTCACGGAAATACACGAGCATCCGTGTAGGACCATACAGGGATACAGGGAGAATGTAGAACCGTGCAATGTTTTCATATGACGTAAATTGGGGCAAAGTCGTGCTCCAGAGTCGGGAACCCGAACCAAAAACGCGACGGCATGTAATTGTATCTATGGCGCCCAGCGCAAATACTCCATAGATCCTCGTGCTGGACCCGATAGTTCATGCTATCAGAAAGAGGCTTTCCAAGGCGAGCATCGCATAATCGACTTAAAACAAATACAACATCCGTTCCGCTAAACAGATGTGTGTCTAGCATTAGTTTCAAGGACGCGATCTTTGCATGACCACTCGCCGGCGAATAGTTTCACGCGATGTTTGGCCGCTGTGATTCGGAAGCCGAGTGCTCCGGTGCATCAATTCAGTCGAGCAATTTATATCCGCCATAAAACAGCCATTGGTCCAACTGTCACGCGCGCTGGGTTTTAATCAATGCGTCTGCACTTCACGCCAGCCATAAACCGGCAAAATGTGTCAATGTGCTACCTCCGGCAGGAAACACTTGACATTCCAATCCCTGCGCAAACATCCCCAGTCACGAATTCTCAGCAGGTGTGAACCAATGTCATCCACTACGCCCACCAGGCTTACAATCAGCCACTCACAAACCGCCCCACCAGACTCTCTGTTCGCTCACCGGGTGCCACGGCCAGCAGGTCGACAATCATCCTCCCTGTCTCCCGTCTCCACGTCCGCCAGTCTCTGTTGCCGTCTGCGTATCCACCGTATGCACGTGCGCCCGACCACCGGCCGACACGCGTCTCTACTCACTGACGCCGCGGGCTCCACTGACTGGCGGGGCGGCACCGGGCGGCTCGGTGCCGCCGTCGGCACGCGTCACGAGACCTTGAGAGGGGCGCCGCGGCTGGCGGACGGCGGCGGCGGCGGCCGCGGCAGGGCCTTCACCGGTCATCGCGCCCGGCGGCCAGGCGGGGGCGGGGGAGGGGGCGGCGGGCTGACCTTTGCCGCCGGGAGTTGCACGGGATTGACCCGTAGGTGGAGGGTGGGCTTGTAACGCCAGATTGGGAGCCATGATTTCGTAAGCGAATCTAAAGGTGAGGAAATGGGTTCAACCATGTTCAACGCAGCTTGAATGTCACGAGTTAATGCATCTGATTATGTGAATGTATATTGGCCAACGACCTTACGTTTGGCAAGACGGTACGCATGCCGCCATTTGTGCTTTTTATAGTTCATGTGCCTTTTTGGCCTTGATTGAGGTGTGAACTGGGATATTTGTAAAACTAATCATGTGACCCGCATATGTGTGTGACCCTTGGTGCACAATATTGCAACATGTGAGCATAAATAATTGCATTCAAACATACCTCCGACTCCTCGACAAACTTCTAGCTACACCAGCGGGGCGCCGCCGCAGCTCACTTTTCGACCGGACAGCTTCCTCTCGCAGCCGGGTTTATGATACTGAGCTCTCGAAGTAAAATATTGATATGACAACAATTGATCAGAGACAACTGTTCCGACGGCGGAACTCAGTCACCGAGATATTTACGATATTACAACGAGAATGGCTCTGCGTCGCCCAGAAATGGGCGTCGACACTCTGAAAATGGGGTGCCATGCGATCTTCAGTTTGGATTTCGAGGTTTGGTAAAATTTAGCGCGATCTGAATTGTTCAAATTCGTACACTTCGTCATGATTCCAACGGAAAACGCAAAACGAAATACCCTCATAGGAATTACTTTTTACACTCGCAGCAATTCAAAAATAACTAAACCAGCTTAAAAGCAACAATATGCAACATCAATGAAACTAAAGCGGAGTAAATCTACCCTATAATCTACCCTATGTTTTATAGTTAAATCTCGTAAGCGGTAACCCAGAACATTTCAAGCCGCATGTCTGCACTCGATAAGCGATACACCTCTGAACAGTACCCATCAACCAGCAATAAAGATCAAACTAGCAACCCCATACTTCAGTCACCACCACTACTGGCACTCATAACACCACACTCCACAAATACAGCACCATGCAGGCTCTCTCAAACCACGCTGCTGCTGTCAGCTGTCAGCCTGATATATATCACGTCACGGCAGTCCGGCAGTCACCACGCCAGGCCAGCAGTCAGGCCTGGCCGTGACCGGGACGCCGACACTGACCAGTGACCACTGCTCAGTGTCAGACCGGAGGGAGAGCTGGCCTTGCCGTGTCACTGACACACAGAGACCGATAGTTTCACGGCCACCGGCGCGGATCAATGATCGGTCGGACCACTGTGCACCGGGCGGGGTCACGAGGCGAGGGGGGGGGGCAGTCACCGCTCAGGGGGAGTGCGTAATGGAGCTGTTATAGTGAAGTGTGAATGGCTGTGAGGTCAGATAACTCGGGAAATATGTGGATGGAGCGCAGGTGATAACTGATAATGCTCACACGAAGCAGCTACTGCATGCTGAAGCTACGGGGAATAAGACATTTGCTGTGTTGGACGCCGCATAAGCACTAAGCAGTAGCTATGCGCGTCAACAGGTATGAGCTCGTTATAGGCACGACAGACTCGTCATTTGCTCGCCTTCCGTGAAGCGTAAAGGAAGGTTCACCGTGGAGACATTGTGACAAATTGGACTTCCGGGAGCGTGATATTGACAAGGCCGCCGCTCCGGGCACAGCAGTACCCATCACACAGTGACCTGCTGACACCGTGGGACCATGATGGGCGTTAACCAAGGTGAAGGTAACAGCCCGACCCAGGCTTTAAAATTCCGGGAGCCTGAAAGTATTTAATGAGAAGAGTACACGTCGGGAGTCGGGCGTACGCTGCACTGTATGCGTTCCGACGCACACACACGAAACGTTTAGGGAAGGGAGGTGGGGTGGCCGGACCGTGGGGTGGAAGCCTGTCCTAGGGTCGATGGCTAATCGGAGGCGTCACTCATACATAACGTATAAGCCGTAGGGAAGTCGAGTAGGCAGAAAGGGGACGGGAGCTTAGGGTACCCTTAAGGCCAGTATCAGAAACTGGGAGTATTCTGAAATGTAGAAGGGGATTTATACAGGGGTTTTACAAGGATAGGAGAGTGTTTTACATATACAGTGTATAGCCTCTTACTGACCTGCACAGGGTATGTTATAACGTCCAGCCTGCATGAACCATCGACCACGCACGTGCAGTCGCTGCTCACTCACCCTGGTTCTCCGCGGCAGCGGGGCTGGCCGGGGGCTGTAACAGTCCCTCATTCACCCCAAGGCCCTATCTACCACTCACCCTGGTCCTGTGCAGGGTCGGTGGGGCCGGCCGGGGGCTGTGTTAGTCCGTCACTCACCCTGGTTTTGAGCAGAGTCGTGGTCGGCCGGGGAGGCCTGTCAGTCCCTCACTCACCCTAGTTCTGAGCAGAGTCGTGGTCGGCCGGGGAGGCAGGCCTGTCAGTCCGTCACTCACCCTGGTTCTGCGCCGGGTCGGCCGGGGGACTGTGCCGGCTCTCCTCCGCCCCTTGGAGCGCCTGCCGCGCCTGGCGGTGCCGCGGCGTCGGCAGAGTCTGGGAGTAGCCGGGCGCTCCGGCGGCCAGTTGGGGCTCCTCATCCCTCTGCCGCCGCGGTCACACACAGAGCTCTCACACACCGAGACCCGTCACCAGTTGCACGCCAACAGCGGACAGACAGAGAGCAGGGAGTGGCGCGCGTCAGAAGCCACCGCAACCGTCGGCGCACAGTGGACGCCGTACAGCGGCAGCGGGGGTGGCAAGCGCGAGAGAAGAGCTGACATTGATTATAGGTTAGCCCAACCCACGCCCTAATGCTACTTTATCAACATGTACTGTGTATCCTTGCCACCGGCATGATCAGTGTAAAAGTATCAGAAAAAGGTGACATAAGCTTAGCCAGAAAGGACAAAGTGCCGCAAAAGTAAATGGTGTTAGGAGTAGGAGTACGTACCTCGCATAGTTTGAGCGTAGCTAGGCTGTCGCAGGACGGTTCGCGGGCAAAGTCCGAGTGCCACATGCCGAGGGCGCGCCCCTCTCAGCATCGGCTCAGATCTGCCTCAGGTGCACCGCCATCACCCTGCGGGGGAGCGGAGGGACCGAGTCAGCGTGATTTTGTCGGGCACATGAGAGTAGAGTCAGGCTATTGAACAGTTTTAGAAGCCTCCACACTTCATATGAAGACAGTGTGGGGCGCAAGTCGAGGTATCGTGCACCAACCAGACACCACCAAGCCCCGCTGTCCAGTTACCTACAGCACCTCCCTGCGGTCCCAGCACAGGGCGCCAGTGCCACAGTCACACGGCCAGCGCAGTGACACCTACTGACGGCCGGCCGTGTGCGGCGCGCGGCGCGGCCGGCACCACGCCCCGGCCCTGTTGACAGTCGCGGGACCGGGGCGGCCGCGGCGACCTTTAGAGACTGATGTGCGGCCGTGATACCGACTGCAACAGACAGCGACACTGCCCGGGCGGGGCCGCCGCCGCCGCCACTCAGGTAAATGAAGGTCGTAAAGGATCGTAGCGAACGTGATGGGATGCCGGATTTGACAGGGGGCGGTATTGGCCGACTATTTGGAGGGTGACAGCTATTGGGGAAATCACAGTCACGTGACGGTAGCCAGAGATGAGTGAAAGATGACCTACATATGTCCGATGAGCTACCGCCCCAAAACACTGCTCTTTCAACAACTCGCCAACGATAACACGCACGTGGCAGCATTAATAACGATGAAGACCCATCACCACAAATTCACAATCAACAATCCGAAGCACTCGGTTCGTGCCACAGGCGAATGAATAACACCACACCATCCAGGACAGCGAAAAGGTCACCGGCCCCACGGCGGATGGAGAGCTAATGGAGGCAAGTGCCGCCAATCGACTAGTTCCGAGGAGCGCTGCCCTCTCCGGCTGCCGGAGGCCGGGCCGCTGACTGGCGCCAGGCACGAACACCGCCATTTCCGCACAAAGCTCCCGCCAGAGAGGCTAGCGGAAGTCCCGAGACGCCACCATTTGCAACATAAGTGGTGCCATTTCTGGAGCTGGCCCGATGTTATGTAAGATGACCATTTGAAATGGACTCAGCACATGCTGTTTCACACCCTATTTTTGTAGTACCTAGAGTGGATGATAAAAAGATGACAATGCTACGAAACAAATGTCTCAAAGTCGGTCTTAGCAAGTTTCGCTGCCAACTTGCAGCCAATAAACAAATATAAAAATAGGCTCACTGTAAAGTAATGACCAATTCAACGGACAAGGGAAAGTTATAAGTTTATGCGAGTAATTCATCTACTACGACGATACTACGGGGCGTCGACGATTTTCAAAACCCGCAAAGCATGGTAAATCCCGCTGCAAGTACAAACAAATGAGCAGTGCTGCTGTTGCTCTTGCATCGCCCACGCCTTCCCGTACCAAGGCAGCGGAAGGTCACATGACCCCACTATCAACCGACCCCAGCCCGCTCCCCGTTACCGACCGTCCCTCACTATCGGGCGGTGCAGTCGCCAAGAGGAGGGGGTCAGAGGGGGTGAGGCCACTCGAGCTGCGCAGATGCGGCCCGGCCCGTCTTCACCCCGATATGAGCCGCGGACGGAGACGGCGGTGACCGACGGTGTAGTCCCGGCGCGGCCACATCCGCTCCAGAGGAGGGGACGCCATCAGAGCAGGGAGGGAGGAAGGGGTCCGGGGTCTTGGCCCACTGTATTAATTAGTTAAATAATATTGGGTCCACATGGTGGGTCCTGTATGGGTTGGGGAGCAGATAACATAATAGTTGAAAAATATATATAGAGGTTAAATAAATTGCTGGTTTGAATCAAAGTGAAACAATAGATTCTTGACCTGAAAACCTTAACGTCATAAAAGACAAATGTCAATTAAATAAAAAGCCTAGAGTACTTTCAAAATATTTCCTGATCTCAGTAACCACTGAAGCATTAGTTATGTCCTACTTACCCTTTATTCTCATGATCATTGATTAAAGATAGTACTTTTCTATTCATACCAGCGTTTTCAAGAAATTGTCATAGAGATGTATTGCAGTGCCACCTGAAAATGCTGCTATAAAAATGTTAAAATCGGATTGCACTGACCATCCCTAAAGAAAAAAGAATGCAGCTCCAAAGCAATGTTTGTGAATGTAAAATACATAATGGTGCATTTGTTTGTGTACTGTGTACTTAATGTGTAGGCATCTATATTATCAAATATGAGTACTGAATATTAAAGGTAAAAATATAAGCAAAATAAGCTACATAAACTGTATCCATATAAAATCTTAGATAAGCTCTGTAAGCGAATACCAAAAAGTGAAAATTTCTTAGGATTCTTAGCACACAACACCAAATATCAACCAACATTTGCTATGTGAGAGTTGGACTGACTGGACTGTAATGTACCTATTAATGAATAAGGGAAAATTCTGCACATGATCACCAATTTATCTGAGGAGTGAAGGAAGTACAAATGAAAAATATACTTTTTACAAGTTTGTTAGAAAAAAAATACCAACAAGCTTCAAAATTTATTAGTTGGGGGCATATGAACCTTAGCCACTGTTCAAACAAATGCTTATTTTTTACAAAAAAAAAGAAACAAGCATTCTTCTTTGAAAGGAAGAGCTGACAACAACAAGGCTCAGGATGGATCATGGAAGAACAGTGAACATGCTGGGATACTAAGCAAACACCTCATGATAAGTTGGTTGCCTAATGGGCAGGTCAAGGTGGCCTGACTGCATATATCTGGCAATCCCAACACAATTGGTGACTTGTAAATTATGTTATTTTGAATTCCTGTAGCTTATGAATTATAAGGCTCTGTAGGCAATAACTTTTTTAATTTCAGTTATTTATTTATGAGTAATTAAGTGATGTGCGCACTGCTAAGTGCTAACTGCTAAGAGCCCCGAGGGTGAGGGCACCTCTTCCGCCCCTCCCGAATGGCCACCCCAACCCCTACCACCTGCATTGTCCAGAACCACCCTTCAACTCAGGTACATATCCAAACAAAAAGGGAAGAGTAAGAACTTGCACTTGAGGCCAAGCCTATAACTCAGTAGGTGGAACTATGGTCATGAGTACCCAAATATAGGAACGTTCCCATCTTTGGGAACGGAGTTCCCAAATATGGGAACGGGCGTTCCCATTTATGGGAACGGAAGGCAATTTTTCGGCCGTTCGCCCGCTAAAACTCATTAGTGCATCACGTCTCAAAAAAGTGCACGCTAATTTAAGTATCTACTAAGTCTCTATAAAATTATCTTTAATCTGACCGTTGAACAAGGAAATTGACCGTCGAATGATATTTTTTATGATTTTTTGAAATGACGGAATGGTGAAAACATGGGTTACACTACATTTAACATGCAATTTTAGGGAAAATGAAGCGTTTTTACATTTTGAGGTCAAGTATAATAATTTTCGCCTGGTTATGAAGTTTCATACTAGCGACACCAGATTCTGACATATGCAAGCGAACACGCGGACAGTCCCGAGGTAATATTGTTGACATTTGGTGTCGAAGCGGACGACCGCGTAGAACGTGCGTGATTTTACCGAACTACTGTTGTAAACTCAGTTTAAGTGGTCGAAAATTATTCAGCTGTATTTTATCAGCCCGGAAAGACATAGGGGCATTCCACGTCAAATCAAACACCGAAATCCGTCATCCCCTTCGATTTTTCTGAAAATTTGTAGGCAGACTGGGCATGGCTCAAAACTGAGTTACGTATAATATTTTCGAAATTTGATAACGTATCGCTGAGATATAGGTCATCGAATATAGCGAAAAATGCCACACATCAATTTTTTAAATGGCTATAATTCTGGTTCCTTTTCTGGTATCAAAATGATATTAACAGGGTCTTATAGGCAATTGATAAGGCTTTGATTTTTAATTATAGAAATAAATTGAAGTGACCTTGAAATGCTTTTGACCTTGAATTAAAACAGAAAAAATTAAATAGCAAAAAACACGTCACCTTCGATTTGGGTAATTTTTACATATTATGTCCGTCACAATGTTCCTAACCATCTGTGAAAAAATTGGAGTGGGCCATTCATAACTTTCACGGCAAACGCCGTTTTCATGCATCAACATCACGCAACCGCGCGTGACCTTGAAAGACAGAGTCAAGACATGCTTGTGTACACTTTCTGAAATGGATGATTGCTGATTAGTGATATCCCAAACTCTGCGAGAATGGAAATGCATAGTCATCGTAGTCAAGCATTCACGTTCCATAGTAAAAGTGTCTCAGGCAAACTGTATTTTGCGGTGAATTTTGAGCCGTGTGGAAATGCATCATGAAGTAAATTCAACGAAAACATTATCACGCAACGATATCTTCACGTCTTTTGATCTTCACTATACGAAAGAACATACATTTTTAGTATGTATGGGGAATTTCTAGTTAATCCAATAATAAATATGGCAGTTAAAGGCCTGCTTAGAGTACACACATAAAAATATTGACACCGTTAGCGGTGTAATTGCACAGTACATATCTGAGCACTTGAGGAAAGTTAATTTAGTCCCTTCCCCGCTTAAATTACTCGCGCTTCTAAATGAACACCAGGAAGAAGGTAATAGAACACTGTTAGGAGGGGTGGGTGTTTTACTACATGTAGCAAAACACCCAATCCTCCTAACAGTGTTCTATTACCTTCTTCCTGGTGTTCATTTAGAAGCGCGAGTAATTTAAGCGGGGAAGGGACTAAATTAACTTTCCTCAAGTGCTCAGATATGTACTGTGCAATTACACCGCTAACGGTGTTAATATTTTTATGTGTGTAACATGTCGCCGGCTGCAAGGCGGGCTCGGCCGATGCGGAAAACGCAGCAATCACAATTTTGTGTTTACACGTTCATATTTCAATTGTTTACCAACCGATTTTCAAAATTCTTGCACCATAAGATTGCCTGTACATTTTTTAGTCTTCTCACAAAATTTGACGCGAATCGAACGTAATCAGCGGTAGGGAGCGCGATGTAAAGACGGAACCGTTCCGTTCCGTCCCGGCACAGTCTACAATTCAGGCGGCGCGTAGCGGTCGGGCGCCGGCTGCCGAGTCGCCGCGTCGCTGCGGCGACAGGATGTTCACTTTACACCGCAATTACTAGAACAGTTGTGAACCGATTTTCTTATTGCTTGCACGATGAGATGTCCAATTCAATTTTGGACAGGAAGCCATAATTAATTTCGCATTAATCTTATGAGATATTGGCGAAAAACAGGAGGGGTGGGCGAACTTCGCTCTTCCCCCTCCACTGCGCGTGCTAACATACGTTTGCATATGTGCCATTTTCTTCAAAACTTATGCATGGCCCACTCTAATTTTTTCACAGGTTGTTAAGAATATGGTAGGCAATAAAATATATGAAAATGAGCCAAATCGAAGGTGACGTGTTTTTTGCTATTTCAATATTTGTGCTTAAGAACAGAGTTAAGCAAATTTCAAGGTCATATATTTAAGTAGGTACAATTCTAAACAAATGCTTAAGAAATTACCTAAACAGTAAGGTTTATTTCATTCAAATCAAACAAGTACAACCAAAGTTATGGTCGTTCAAAAATATAAAGATGCAACATTTTGTAAAAATTTGATGCCCTATATTTAGAAGACCTGTGGTCAGAATGTGCAAAAAACATCAATGTAATGTCCGGGGCCAAACAGGAACTCGCTCACAAATTTATAATGAAATCGCTGATGGTAAGGTGCAAAACAGCCGATTTTTGTTCGATTTGACGTGGAATGCCCCCATATTTTATTTGGATGCTAGCTGTTTAGCGTTGTTTTATAAGGAGCGTCATGAGCGTGGTTTTTGTCTTCCGTGTTTCTAAGCATGATCGTTTTGGGGGAATTTCTCTTACATAGGTCGCTCTGTGTGGCTTATTTATAATTTCTATGCTGATTTCGATCATTCCTCGTGCCCATCCTACCAGGCCTTTTGCCACTTACACTCATTAAGAAAGTAAAAAACTAGATTTTCATTGGGGCTAGGTGTTTTGAGGGTGTAACATATTCAGCGTTCCAATTTTTGGATACTTCCTTGTACTCGTCAACTATCGGTGATAAACAGACAGGTGCTTGACATGTCTCCACCCTCGGCACGGACGGTGGATATAGGTATAGAAGACCTTGTTGAACATCGCTGAGCGTTGTGAATTACGTAATCCTGCAGAGGGAGGCGTGCCCGCTGCGAGATCGACGGGAATAAAAGGGCAGAAGACCGGGCGAAACATGCGACGGTCTTGCCGGAAAGGTCATCTGATGATTGTTGCGTTAACAATAATTTGCGGCGTTGGACGTGATGCTTGTTAAAGGGACACTCCCACCTTAACATTAGTTTTGAGTTGAGATAGCCAAATTGGTGGCCATGGCCTGCAAATACCGGTTTGGGCACTCACAACATCGAAAAATGTTTTAATTCGAAGATATGGAATTTCAAACTTGCAGTTTTCGGATTCTAAGGGGCTAATGCATTGGAATGCCCCCTTAGAATTTGTGACGTCAGCGGAGATCTAACGATTTTTAAATCTTAGACTAAAACCATCGTTAACACGTGGTGGTATACGCTGCTTTGCGCGCAACGTCTGCCGCACTTTAAGGCTGCCAAATTATTGCTTCCAAATAAAGTCGCTAGTAACAGGGGAGATGCCAAAAAGTAAACAAAAGTAAAAGCCTAATATCTTGAAAACCAGTGAATATTTTTCGGTGAAATTTGGTAGATATTCGTTTTCGCTCTTTCTGAACCAAGGGACATCACTTCCATGCCAATTCATTAACTTTTTTGAAGGTGGGAGGGTCCCTTTAATGAAAAGAGCCCCTGAAAGGCGTCGGTGAAATCGTTCCCAATTTTGGGTACGCTGTTCCCATAATAAGGAACGCTTGCAGCGCCAGTGTACGAGAGCGTTCCCAAATTTGGGCTCGCGGCCCGGATGATGGACTGCTTTAGAAATAGGGGAACGATTTGAAACTACGATGGGCCTTACAATATCAAACTCTTTCCCAACAATATTGAGACAAATATCAGGCGGTTCACGATCGTTTTATATTTTTTGGACGTCATTTAACGGTTCTTTTCCTTGTTTTAAATAATGCCTACATGGCGTTCCCATATTTGGGTTTATCGTTCCCAAACATGGGAACGAAAATGCGTTCCCGAAAATGGGTACGCTTGACCATAGTTCCGCCTACTGAACTGTGGCCTTGTCGGTGCACAAAAGCAACGCTTCTGCAGCTAGCTCATGGCTGCATTGGCTGCAATAAAGTTTCAAGCTACTGAACGAGAGCAGTTACACACCAAAACAGTCATTGAAAAATAATTTGTGATAATTTAACGCACATACCCCGGCACATACCAGCATTTTCCAGTGATCAAGCGCATAAACTGAAACCGAGCCCCCCAAAACACACAAGAGACGCGCGCGCGCAGCCTGCGTTGTAAATGTCTCCACAAAATATTGGCGTCAGGATTGTATTCCATCTCGGCTACCAAATCTACAAGAAAAACTTCTTCGGTCTCTAAGGATTCCTTCATCGCATGCATCACGCGAATAACGTCCGCAGTCATTGCATGCATACGTTAACTGGGACTGGCAAGAATAATGTAATGTGCCTCCCAGTTCTCCCAATGGTGCTATCTTGCCTCGAATATGATCTAAATTATCACAACTATTCCAGGAATTGTTTGAGGGTTCACCTAATGTCACATTCGTATTTCGTACTCGTAGCATATCTCATCATTGAAACAAGAATACCATCAGTTAGGATTTTACAACGCCAGGGTTAAACTTTAAACAAAATGGGAGTCAATAGAAAAGCTTAACAGTACGGCAAAAAGACAGCCGCCCGGTACGAGAAACATATTTGAGACGGCTGGTGATTCGCCAGCTTCCTTCCATGCGGTGGCATGAAGATTCCATGCATAAACGACACAGACACCGTCCTTCGATCAATCGCACTTTTTTGTTTTTATTTACGAAAATGTCATTTGTATTCAAGGATAAAGGCATGCCATTGATTATACGCCATCCGAGGGACTCACAGCATTCACAAATATCGAGTTATGAAACAACCATGAGCAAATTTCATGGTTCAACGATTAAGATTCGATTAAAAAATAGAAATGCAGTTCATCACTAAATGACGAATTCAATCACAAACAACCTAATCAAGAAAGCTTCTCTATTTGACTTAAACTAGGACATGAGGAAATAACATAAATGCGGTGGAAAAGTGCGTCCTGGCCGATTATCCGGCCCTCACAACGCGCTATTCTTCAAATCAACCGCAAGTCAATCGGCTCAGGAAAAGCAGCTTAAAGCTAAAGCACAGTGGCCAAATGGGAGCGGATATCGTGAACTGGTTTCAGTGACAATGGACCATCCCTATCGCATCGTTCATCCAGACTTCGGATATGAACTGCGGCACTATGAAGACACACCAAGGCACAGTGGCACAAGTTTTCTGGCACAAGCCAAAAAAGTCACAAACACACGCTTCACTTGAGCAAAAAGCTTCGATTAATTCGGTCTATCTCTTTAACGGGGTATTTAACATTCTACGAAGCCAGTCTAACCCTTTCAATCCGCCTATCTGGTTCCTCTCTTCCACTACGTACAAGGCACTCGCTCAGTTTCCCGCCCACCTCCCACCCATCCTCCAGTAGTCACATCGCTCGCATACCCTACGGTCCCACCCAGCCCCGAGCAGCTCATCCTCCCACAGCCTACCGTCAACAGCCCTCAAACAGCCCCCCGCCGCTCCCCCACGACCGTTACACCTTTCCGCCGGTGATGCGCTCCTTGTTTTTGTCGTAGAGCGCCAGCAGGTCCTTCAGTTCCTGGTCGGCGTCAATACAGAGCACAGGCGGCCAGTGGGCCGGCCGCGGGCCCGTCAGCCACCGCTCGTGGCTGCGGTGCACGCGGCGCAGGTAGTCGAGCGGCACGGTCGCCTCCTCTGCGCGACCGCGCTGCCGCATCCGCTCAAACACCACCTCGGGCGTGGTGCGCAGGTAGACGATCAGGTCGACGCCGATGTCGAGCCGCCGCTCCATCAGCGAGTAGTACTCGGCGAGTACGGTGTGCTCGGCCGCCGAGATGGCGCCACTATCCAGCGCGTTCTCCACGAAACAGTATCTGCGAGACGGAGAACGGTCGGGATGGGGGGGGGGGGGTGAGTCATCACTGAGCGTGACAGGACACGATTTCGGCGACGATGGGTGTTTCACGACCCGTTCTCGGGCGGTGAAATAAATAACCGATCTTCGAACATACTCATTTTTTTGCGTACATAAAACATACAGCGCAGTGTTGGCAATGCAGAGGCCGCTGGATAATAACTAAATAAAGGGGAATATCGAGGTCCGGGCCACCGTAAAATGGCTGATAACAACGCAATTAGTCAAACGTGATGATAGTACGTCCAAATAAAAACTTACCAGTTTCATACTATTGATGGTGATATTACAACCAAAGCAGCATGTAATATTACTTCAGAGTAGGTATGCCTCATCTGTAGCACGACAATCATCACATTGAATCAATTGTTGTTTAATTGCTTCGGGCTACCTGTTGTTGGGCAGCGAGCGTTCGATGATTTTGACCCGACACGGAGTTTGGTCCAGATGAATCTGCAGCCTGGTGAGCTGAATGTAAGACTGGAACAGGAAGCTCCACCTCTTTGGGTCTTTGTACAGCTTGTCCAGCAGGTTGTGACCATCTACGTTGCACCACTTCTCCAGTGGCTCCTGTAAAAACCAGCACTCCATTGTGATTGGCAATTGCAGTTGTCTGGAGCATGCAAAAACGATGTGATTTTCTAGTTTGAAAATAAAAGGAACATGAAGCGAAAGGTATATAAGAATATGCAACGCATAATGCTTTATCACATTCAGTTCTAGTTATATGCATTTCTTTAGTCCTGTAACTATATTAAGAATAAATATGAGCACTGGTGTTTTAGTATGCCAGCCACAAGGAAGTCAAGTACTGAGTAGACATTGTTAGACAATGCCATATGAACAACACTACTCTCAAAATTATGTTACAATGACCCACCTCTATAACATTGACACCCTCCAATCCTTTGAAGTGTTTCAGGAAGGTGGACTTGCCACTGCCAACATTTCCCTCCACTGAAACTGTGAAAGGTCTTGGACCAGTGTCCAGCATGAGATCCTTTTTGCTGCTTGGTGCTAGAGATAGTGGATGCTGCAGGGCAGGCATCTTGGCAAACCAGCGAACCAGGGGCACCAGCCACCTCAGCACCTCTGTGGGGGGGGGGGGAGGGGGAGAAGGGAACTCAAGTCCTCCACATGACCTGGTGGATAGGGTGCCCATCTTCTGGGTACTTCCACAGCATGACTACCTGATACTACTGGTATCATATCATGGTATTGGGTTCCAATAGAAACATTAACAAACTCAGATGTTCTGGTACTGAGTGACATCAAACTAGTAGTTAAAGTGAATGCTATTGGAGAGCTAGTAAAAAGCCCTAGTTGGGCTAAGTCACACATCAGCTCCTGCAGTAGGTACCATAGCATCAGGTTACATTGACATCAAGCTGTGAAGGGCCAATCAAGGGCCCTAAGTTGTAAATTGCTACGTAGGTACCTGTGTACCTTTGGTGGTGCAAAGTACTTGGTATTATTCTTGCCGGTAGCGGGTAGGTAGGTAGGTAGGTAGGTACCTCCGTACTTACAACTAAGAGGTAACTTTTTGAAGTTACCATAAAAGTTACAGAGAGCAAGAATGCAACATCGAAGATGCCTGGTTCCAGCCACAATACGTAATGTAATCATGCGAGCTGTTTCTATCTGGGTGTCCTTTGATCAGGGTTCCTGCACATCCTTCAATATTTCCTAACCTTGTCTTGGGATCAGAATGGGCATGGGAACCCCAACCACATGAGTTTATAACCAGGTGAGCCTAGTGCTCACACTAACCAGGAAAAGAATAATGCATAAATAATTCCTCAACAAAAACAAAATTCAAAAATAACGATGAATTGAAATTTCAAGAACCACAGTGCCATTTCAATTTCACCTCGTTTCAATTCCATCATATAAATTTACCATTGTTCATCAATATGCTGTGATCATATATGCAACTCTGAATAAATCGACACTTCTTTTTGATCCAGGTCTTGATAACTTTCTCTGAAAAATATTTCTTTTTGTACCTACCCACCATCCACCGTGATTTCTTCAACCCACCTTCTTTGGCGCCAAAATCTCATATGTGACGCAGGAGCAGCCGTTCAAATGCAGAAAATCTGGTATCTACTATTTTACGATTGACCAATCGTAAGGGACCAAAATTTCAATTCATTCATATACAAGATTTCATTGGCTAAACTTTTAAGAGCCATAATCGTAGCTGTGTTGTGAGAACAGGTATCTTATGTAATGTAAATATATTGTTGGATTCGAATAAGTACACGTGCGAACAAGCGTGCGAATTATTTACGAAAATTGTTGCCAATATGTTGATAAATTATTCAACCGGCGTTACTTTTGTGAGATACTGCAACTTTCGAGCAACGAAAACATTTAAAAACACGAAGTTATCGGGATGTGACTACCAGGAACTGAAATATGAACATCTAATCTTTTTGTTTTAGCCACTGCATTTGCATTGCGGCATTGCTTTACTTCAACTCGAACTCAAACTAGGCTTGAGTTATGACCTGAATACGCTGCAAGACTTAACGAGATTGACATCTCAGGTAAGTGTTCCTGTATGAGTTATGTTCAATTTGTTTTGATGCAGACATTCAGCCTATCATTCTGTATAAATAGATAGGGGCAACGATTATTATTATTTCAAGAGCTCAGAAAATGGCCTTGAGAATTTGCATTGATGAACTTTTGGAAGGATAAATCATTAAATCATTCTCGTTTCTGGCAAAACACTCCTGATACGGGCTTTTCCCACCCCGCCGGCTTGGTGTTTCGGGTCGATTGCCGATGCTTCTCTGCTACGTACACAGATGGCGCTGCAAAGCATATATTGATGAGACAGGTGGCGCTAAGAACCAAGGCGGAGAACTAAGGTCTCAGGGGGAACTAAGGCTAAGAACTAAGGCTAAGAACTAAGGTCCTTTACTTAGTTGCTCATTCCTTCCTTGTCCCATTCCTACTTCTGTAATACCGTGCGCGGTGCGAGCATTTGCGATAGGTCATACCCGTTCCGTCGTATCTATCCTCAGGATACTGAAATCCTTCTCCTCCACGCCGCAACCTCCGGTCCGGGCTGGACAGGCAACTTTATCTCATGCGGGCTGCTCCCTTGGAGCGGCACCGCTGCTCCAAGCCCGCTGCTGGGGGCTGGTCGGCCTGTCCTTTGGGACGGCTCAGCCCCGGTGACTCACTAGGGTGCCTGTCCAGACCAATGTGTCCCCCTAATTCCTCTCATCCCTCTGAAATGGTCTTGTCAGACCGAAAGGGCCTAACTCAACAAAACAAAGCGATAGGTACTTCTGGCCTGCGCACACTTGCGGTCGTACATTCGCCATTAGTGACATTTGCGATCCGTACTTTTGTCCGTAGCACTTATGTATATTCCGTAAATATATAGCCTCGGTGTGGCGAGGGCCGAGGGGAACTGTGCTTGAGCGAGTTCAGAATGACCCAGGCCTGTCGAGTCAAACAGACATGAAAATTACACTGGGCACCTGCCTAAGGCCTTGACCTGCCTGGGATTCCGGTGTAGGTAGTCAATGGCTCAAGACATTTATTGCCAACTGCCTTATCTGACCGTCAATCGTGTGCCCTCATGCCAATCGCCCACAATTTAGTGCCCACCAGGGCTGCGGAGTCGGAGTCGGTGTCGGGGTCACCAGAATCTTACCGACTCCGACTCCGGGGTCGGAGTTAACTCCTCATGGTCCAAAGGCATGTCTTACACCTATTCTCGTTCTTTACCTTTCCACAGCATATTTTGTAGAAGCTAAGGATGCTTCTGTTCTGGATGAGCGTTTTCAGCAAAAAGAAAAAAAAGCGGAAGGTCGCGGCTGCGACAGAATCTGCTTTTAGTTCTGCATATTAACTAAAATAATATTTGCAAAGTAAGGCGGTGAAACGAGAGGATCGTTTCAGACAAGATAAAAAGATCTCCGACATGAACTTTACCATACTTTACTTATCATATGGACTGAAAGGTCGGAGCTGTAGTCGGAGGTAGTCGGAGCTGGAGTCGGAGTCGGAGTCGATTTTTTAAGACGGAGTCGGAGTCGGAGTCACCAAAAAAGTCCATAGACTCCGCAGCCCCGGACTACCTATGCCTGTTAAAATGGTCATACCTATTTAACTTCGAGCAAGGCCTAAAACTACGCTTCGACGGTCACTGGCGAACTCAGGCGCCCGAAATCGACGAAAAATTTAGGTTTTCCTAGGATAAAACTAAAAACTAACAACTTTTATCAGAAGAAAATAAAGGTTTAATTGCGCAGTAGTGTGAAAGGAATTCTAATCCGATATTTTTTTTTTTGGAATTTGGAGAATCAATTTTGGGGGTGTGCCCCACCAACGCGGCGTCAAAGACTGCCTTTCTGGATTCGCCAGTGTCGATGGTTGACACAGCAATGATAAGTTAATTTTATTGAGACTCTGCACTGCCGCCTGCCACATAAGCCTACCCGTACTTTTATAATTGCCGATAGATGGCAGTGAAATTCAGCGCCTGAAACTACGCTGTGCCGCAGTACACATTTATACGGCGTTTTACATCAGTGGCGCTTTGTGATGCCACTCGTAGCAGGGATGTTTACTGTTTACGTCTATTGATTGTTAAACAATTCTGTATTTAAAATTACGTCTATTGACAAAAACAGCTCATAACGATTTTTGTTCCATATTCATGCAACCATAGTCTGGTAAATAGAAGAAAAAAGGAAGAAAGTAGGTAAGGCGCTTGGAAGCACACGTCAACTAACTTGTAATATGTAGGTACGTAGTGATTGAATTTAAGGTGCTTATCGTTTACGTTTTTAGATCAAGATGAATGTTCCCTCCTGGGCGAAGGGATTCTTGGGACGAGTAGGCAATTGTGTATTCAGTCATATGCATCGATAAAGTGTTGCGCTTTCAATCCGTTCTTTTTTCTTACGTTTGCCAGACTGCAGTGACCCACTCTTCTGAAGGTCAGATTATCGTCCATTTTGTTGCGTGCGTGGGCCGTAGCGTCAGCTGTAACTGGTACAAAGCACAGGTACCGGCCGCCGTGCCGGGCTGCCGAGCGGATCTGCCTCCCGCCCCCGCCGCACCTGACTCCAATCAGGCGGTGCTCACCTGTGCTCCCACTTACCTGGCACTCGGCCGCCTGCCATCCCGACCGGCGCGGCGCCGCGACCCGTCGTGACCCGCCGCCATCGCCGCCATCCGCCGCCGAGCTAGACGGGGCGTAACCCCCTTGCATCAGCCCCTCCCTCCGGCGGCGCGCGCCGGCCGGCTCCGGCGCAGGCGCCGTCGGGCGCCGGTATCGATGTGGGGGGCGGGGAGGCGCGCGCCGGCGGCCGGGGCTGGGGCCGTGCGCCGGAGCCGGCGGCACTCGCGGTCCAGGCGCGGTCAGCGGGTCAGGTCAGCACCACACGCGCCGGGATCAGGTGAGTTGCCGGCGGCCGGCAGGGGTGGGAGTTCGGGTGTGTTAGTGGAACTTCCGTCACCGTGCTGCCGCTCTGATGTTCCTGTATGTTGTTGTTGCCGTTGCTCGGACGGTAGTTTCGATCCTTCGATCTGGCCTTCCGGCTGGGTGGTGCCACGTGGGAGCCGGTTCGGAACTGGGTGGCGCTCCTTCCATTTTGTGATTCCTTAGGTCTTTGAATTTCACGGGCTTCTGTGGAATGCATCATGTCCGCTTGTCATGAAGGTCTTTGGTTGGACCATGAGCTAGTCTGAAAATAGCGTGGGGTGAGCCGGTGCGACTCTTCATGCGACCGACTTCATGGTCCGTCTTCGGCATCCAAATGGCAGCTTTTAGCCGACCCCATGGCTCATCGATCTGACCCCCGATATACCGGCTCTCACTGGTTTAAACCAGCACCTGTGCCCGCGTCTCCCCTGCTCCTCACGGCCGTCGCTGCCGAATTGCTGGCTGCTCCCGACGCGGGCCGGTGTCGGTGGCGGCGGCGGTGGCACGCGGCCACGCGCTCCGTGCCGCCCGGTCGGCCCGGGGCGCGGTGTCGGGATCGATGCGCCGAGCGCCCACGTGGCCGGTCTCGTCTGACCTGTGCTGAGCGCGGGTCGCCACGCGGTGGTCTATCGGGAATACCTGTGGCTGGTGGAGGGAGGGGTGTGTCGCAAAAAGGACGATCGGTTGAGATTCGATATACGTTGCCGCCTGACGTATCGCTTATTTATAACACTTGTATAGATTGGTGTAATTGTGAATCAAACTAAAAACCGATTCTCACTAATTGGTCCCGTTCTGTGACGCACCTGCGGCCGTTTTCTATGCCGCGCGCACTGCCCTCGGTGCACCACGGTGGCTCGGAGCGCGCGTCCGTTCATTCCTGGCGTGCTGACCCAGTACCGAGTTGGCTCACCTCAGTATTCGACGGCCGTCTGCCAGCACCGCGGCGGGATCCCGGTGCCGACGCGACGGTGCTGCCTGCCGCTGATTCGGTGTCTCCCGAATTCTGGTGCCTCCCGAATGTGCGTCGCTGTTGCTTCCCGACTACCACGCGATTCTGGTGCCTGTCTAATGTGCGTCGCTGTTGCTTCCCACTCTGGCCATTGTGTCAGATCAAAGTGTCAGACTGGATCTTAGTGCTGCTAAGTTGTTAACCCGCGCCCCGCTGGGGGGAGGGGCAGAATCTGCCCCCTCCCGTTTTTCGCCAATAACTTCTAAACGCGTTACGCCAGCGACGTCAAACTTTCAGTACCTTATCATACATCAATTGGACACGTTCCCTGTAAATTTGAGCGAAATCCGTCGGATTTTTTTTTTGAGAAATTGACGTTTTAGTGACGTCATGTTCGCCATTTTCGCCTAAAAAACGGCAAAATTTCAAACGCCGCTAACATTTTCATTTTTAAAGGAATCAAGACGTAACAAAAAGGGTTATACGTGATTCTACTCTGTCTATCAAATGGCTATCTCGGTTTTTTTGAAAATTTTGGATTTTGGCCCAATTTTTTTTTTCTAAAAAAGCTGACTTTTTTGGGAAAATAATTATAAAATCCAAAATTTTGAGTGTATCGAAAAAACCAGAA